GGAACCCCAGTGAGTCTGAGAATTCTAAATCTTAACCTGGTCTTCCAGGTGATTATGAATGTTATATTTGTACAAGTAAGGAGGGTAGACTATATTTAACTCAAAATGCTTAGCTTGATTTAAAATATTTATGATGTTTGGATATATAGTAGGTGAGTCTCCAGTTATGCTCTGGCCCTGTACCTCCAAACGTTCAGACCAGTTATGTTGGTCAGAGATGAATTTTTTTTTTTTGGTACCGGGGATCGAACTTGGGTCCTTGCACTTGCGCAGCAGGTGGCAAAACCACTGAGCTAAATCCCCGGCCCCTTAGAGATGAATTTTTTGCTGCTCAGATTGTACCAGGCAAACTCCTGCCTCCGGAGAGGGGATTCTCATGTTGCTCTCTCTGAAGTCAAGATATTTTGAATAGATAAAAAAATGTAAATGGAGATCATCAACTGTGGCTATGGCTGTGTATATGGCTGTATGTGCACGCACATGTTTGTGTGTGTGTACATGTGTTTGTGTGCATGTGTATGCATTAGTTTTAAGACTAGTAGAAGCCAACTTATAGAAGTCTGAAGCAGCGAAGAATGTACTGTGTGCCCCAGGAATAATTCAAAATGAAGAGAATTTTAAATAATCAAAAATTAATCCCCCAAATTCTGATTTTACCCCTATAATGATTATTTCTCCATTTTGCAGATGAAGTGACTGAGATAAATGACTGACTTAAAGGCACAGAGCTCATGAGCCTCAGAGCCAGGATTCACTCCAAGCAATGTGGTTCCAGAGTTCTGGGCTCCTCTTCACTACTCTCCACTCTTTGCCAAGAGAACAGGCTGGGGAGAGCTGGGGCCACTCGGGTGGCTGCCCTAAAGATGCGGATCAGGAAGTTGACCCTGGAGTGCTAGATTTTAGGTAAGTGTTAAGCACTGCTCGGACATGGTCATCAGATAAGTTCTAAGAACTTGGATGAGTGAGGAGCACTTCATCCTTAATTCCAAAATTCACGACTGTGCTGGTGGGGCCTGACAGCCAAAATGTGGAGTCCTTCTTGATACCTTCTCCAGAGTGAAAGCAGAGAAAGGAACTGTTGCCTCCTGGTGGGCATCTTTGGTAATGACACTAGAAAATGACCAGGCTTAGGTGTGGGGCGATGTCAAAACAAGGTAGTTACTTGTGTCTTGTGACCTGGTTTCTGATTGGGGGTTTTCTGTTTTGTTTTTTTGTAACTATCTCATGATCATTTGAAAAAAGTGTGCATTCTGCTTACACGGTGTATGTTTGCCTATCATTCTTCAAATCCTCTATGCGTGCACACACGTTTTTTGTTTACTTGATTTGTGAGAGGCAGAGAAGTGTTAAAATCTCTTATCTATGATTTTGGTTTATTTTTCTTCATACTCCCATTTATTTCACCTTTATTTATTTTTTCTCTTTTCCAACCTTTTTATTAGTGTATATTGGTTATACAGATGAATGGGTTTCATTTTGGCGGATTCGTACATGCACATAGCATTCATTAATTATTTTTCCTCCATGACTTCCTTGCCCCACTTCCCCACCCAAGTTCTAATTGGGAGGTCAATGTATATAATATATTTTGATCATATTCATGCCCCTCATCACCCATTCTTACACCTTTAGTTTGGAAAGAGATTTCACTGGGCCTAGACTTCTATGTGGGCAGCTCTTTACTTCAGTACTTTAAAAGCGTTATACCACTGTCTTCTCACTTGCACTGTTTCCCACAAAAACAGGCTTTTATATTCATCTTTGTTTCTCTGTACATATATGCTATATAATACACTTTTGTACTATATATATATATATATATATGTTTCTTTTAAGATTTCTCATTCTCATTGGATTTGAGCAATTTGTTATTTCCTTAGTGTATTTTTCTTCATGTGGCTCATTAAGCTTCTTGGATCTGTGGATTTATAGTTTTTATTGAGTCTGGAGAAATAATGCCTATTATTTCTTTAAATATTTTTCCTATAAATAATCTTAACCCTTGTTTTGGCATAGTTACATCACTTAGGAACAGTTTGATCTCTTGGGGTTTTGTGTTTAAGATTTGCTAGATGAGACCAGAGCATCACTTATTCTCCACTGCTGAGGCAAGATAGGGACCCCTTCTGTGTAGTCTGTCTAGCACTTTGTAAATCATAAAGTTTTCCAGTGTGCCAGATATTACTCAATATTCCTTACCCTGTGTTTGTGCTGAACACTGTTACTTCTAATTCTTTTTCATAGTTATTTCCTGGGTTGTGGGTAGTTTCCTCACATAAAGGTGCTGCCCGATCAGTGGAGTGCTCAAGGAGAACCTTCCGCACACAGCCAGAGCTTTGCCACTGTGCAGTCCCTGTGGTATTCTTCTCTGCAAACTCTGGCTACAAACTCTGGCTACCTTGGTCTCTCAGAACTCTCAGCACCACCTCCTTAACTAAGAGCATTTGCCAGGCTCTGCTTGGATTCACCCACCATGCATCATGACCTAGAAATTCTTCAAAAACCTTACAATGGGACAATTACAAAGTTCCCTTCATGCATTTCACATCTCTCTGGGACCATTGTCTTCCATTGCTACATATGAAATGTCTTGAACATCATGCTTTCATACATTATCCATTTTTTAATTATTTCAGGCAGATTGGTAAATTGGTCTCTGTTATTCTATCTTGACTGGGTTTCTGTTGATTTATTTATCATTCTTATCTTTTTAATGATTTGGAAGTTATAGCCTTTTAATGAAGATTATACTTTATGTTTTTTATAAATCATCTCTAAGCTCACAATTGTTATGGACTGAGTGTTTGTATCTCCCTACCCAAATTCATATGCTGAAATGAATTGACTAACACAATAATATGTTATATATAATTGAACCAGTATTTAACACTTTAAAAATTAAATAATCTATTAAATTCCTTTTGTTAAAAATGAGGAATTTAGCATGTTTTACTTCCATGCTGGTCCAAATTATTATTTATGATACACACATTACAATAACTACTTCTTAAACACTTGGATTAAGTCTGTTAAATTAACAATGAGAAATTAGACTTAGCTGTGTGTTTAATTAATTGCTCACAGCTCTAATTCCATCTGTATTTGTTTATATTAATTTTCCAATCAACTGGATACATGATTGGCTAATTTTTGTCAAGTGATAGACTTGGGATCTCCCCACATCTCAACATATCTTTATGGATGCCACATTTATGATCAGTAATATCCAATCTGCTATCTACTGTCTATGTCTCATTTTAAAATATGAGAATTTTTCATTACTAAAAAATATTGTCTTGATTTAAAGTGCTCCTTTGTGATGACTGTGCAGAACACTGGATTTGCTTAACATTTCTCCTGCTTTTTACAGTACCTCAATTTCATTGAGGACAATGTGTTTTAGTTGCTCAGACTGGTCCTCCAAACTATGAAACTCTTACCCTCATCTGCCATTACAAAATTGTTACAATGCTTATTCTGAACAGAGTGAAATCTCTATCCAAATTTCAGTTGGCTTTTGTCACAGAGGTTTGTCTTCCTGTGCAAAGGCCCAAATAAGGAGAAAAGGAATGATTTCTATTTCTTTTATTCTTTGCCAGATTCACGATTGAGTTGTCTGTGTGGCTGTAGTGGAATCCCCAAGAACTTGGCTGAAAGTTTCCTTTTTTAGTATTTATTTGGGTAGCCAGGATTAACTGGGGCTATGGCACCCTTCAGTGACCTTGTCAGGATTCTAATCCTGAGGCAAATCTTCCTCCCACCCCCCCTTTCCTCTCGCATAGACTATGCAGCACCATTCTGCTTCCAGCAATGTAAACCCAGCACCTTGTTCACAGTTCATGAAGCCAGTGTTGGCCCTACCTCATTTCCCAGTGCCCTGACTCTCACTCCCTGCTGTCTCACTGCCTACTCAAGCAGACACTGCCCTGGATGATGAGTCCTTCCCACTGCCTTTCCAGGCACACTTTTTCCTTGTAGTAACTGTGGGTTGGGTTGGCTAGCTGTGGGTTCCGTCTTTCTCCTTTGCACTTCTGGCCGGTAGAGGGCACGCTGCTCCCACTTTTGCATCTCCTTAGTCATAGTTGAACGGGGGAGGAGGAAGAGTTCCACACCTGGCACCTCTGGGTTCCCATCACCATTTGAAACTGTGGGGAAGTACTGGAAAGTGCCAGTACGAGTAGTATGAGCTGGGTTACCTGGAAGACCTCCGTTTGGATTTGGACTTTATACATATGAACTTGTGGTCCAGGAAAGGTCTCCTTGTTTCAGAGAAGCCTGTGTTCTCATCTGTGAAGTGAGTAGCAATAACACAACACCTCTGAGGTTTCTGGGAATTAAATGCAGTGCTATGTGTGAAACTTTAAAAGAGGCCCTGGCAGATGTGCATGGATGCTCAACAAAATACCGAGTATCCTCTGTATTTTTTCCATAAAGAAGATCTGGGAGGAGGTAAGATGAGCTCTTTTTGCTCTCTTCTGTTCTCCCCTCTTAGTTGCTATAATCCCCTTCCCCACTTTGGGGTTACTTTTCTCTGGCCTTCTGATTCTTGCCCAACACCCCATTCCATTGCATCCCACAAATCCCCATTGTAGGATGGTTGATGTGCTTGATTCTGCAACCCTTTATCTCAACCTGACTAAAGGGATCTTGCTCCACAGAGCTATTTTCAAATCCACATCAACTTTCCCTTTTCAGAGGCTTTTAGTATTTTATGACCTTCCTTCCCCCACCAGAATTCAATTATACAAGTGTTCAGCTTTCCACACATGAGAATGGCCACAAGGGTGAAAGCTTTTTGTGTAGTTAGTGATTCCATAAATGGATCCCCCTGCCAGGCATGGTGGCACATGCGTGAAATCTCAGCAGTTGGGAGGCTGAGGCAGGAGGATCACCACGAGTTTGAAGCCAGCCTGGGATACAAAGTGCAACCCCTTTCTGACTTCAGCTTCCCTGGAGGCAGAAGAACTGAGTAGCCAACAGAGATGGGTCACACACACAGCAGGAAGCCAAGCACATTAGATTTACTAGGGTAATATCTGCAGGTGAGATAACAGCACATACATACAGAAACCCACGGGCAGACATACCACCCGGCAACACAGTCAGACACCAAAGCAGCAAAAGGGCTCAGGAAGTGGCTTTGGAAAGTTCTTGTGAAAATCAAAGGGTAGCTTTGGTGCTCAGAGATTCAAACAGAAAACTATACAAAACCAACCCATAAATATATATTATATATGTGTGTGTATATATATAAAATTGCAAAATAAAAGCCCAGGAGATTATCCATCCAAATGCACATCAGTGGCTCAAAAATATTAGCACAGAGAAAGGCAAAACTATTTGTGGGAATGATGCATGATCCAGGGGGCTGGCATTTCAGTAGCAGAAAGAGTATGTACATGGAACCCCTATTTGAAACCTCACAATACTAAGAAAAACTAAACACAGACAATGTATGTACAAGGGAAGACAGTCAGTAGTACTCTCAAATGACGATTGTCAGACACAGACATCTCACTGAAACCACCCACAGTTTTAGATAACACCGCACTCCCTATCTAGACTGGGTTCCTGCTACCCTGTACCCTAGCTGTGCCATCCTAGGCTCTGGACTGTTAGTCTCCCCACCTTGCATCTTCCTTGGAGAGGACAAACTCTGGGACTCAGTGGGTGTCATAGATCATAGGAATTAAAGGTAGACCAGTCCTGGGGCATCAAATAATTATCCACAGAGCAGCACCAATAGAGCAATCACCAATACAGGCAGAGTTAAAATGAGGGGATGAGGTTCCCCCAAATATATTTGCCACTGTATAAAGGAGCTGTGATGTTTTTGAAGTATGGCCCCTCTGTCCTTGGTCTTACTGTTGTCCTCTTTCTGATTCACTTTAAAAGGAAATACCTGGCCTTTAGTTTTTTGAAAGTTACACAAGATGATTTACTAGAGGAGAGGAGAGTTTAGGATATTACTGCCACTCTTCTCCCACTACCCCATAAGCCCTAGCAATGTCTTCTTTAACCTTCTTAGAGATTAGGGAAGTGCCCGATCACAGCCATCACATCCTGATCCTTAGGAAAGGGGCTGAGAAAGGAGCTGAGGACCTGCCTACCAGGAAGACTAGTGGTCTCACACTGAAGCTGATGCCAACCGCACCTGAATCCCTCCCTGCATCAATCATGATCTTCCTTCTCCATCTTCAGGCCCCAATTTCTCATAGCAATGATCCAACTTTGGGGAAAATCTTGAAGGCAAGTGGCACCAAACATCAATTGCAAAACCTACTACCACCTGAGCATGAATCAATGCAAACCAGCATTTCTGTATTTTTACCCCCCAAACATGGAGATTACTGACTGTTTCTGGAAAGCCTACATTGTCCATGGAACTGTCTACATAAAAATAATGAAAGGAGGCTTCTCCAGTAAAGAACATTCACCTGAAATCTCCACCCTGATTCCTGGGTGACTATGGCTTCTCCAGGTGAGAGGGAGGAGTGGAACAGATATGACATCCTGTCAGGTTTTGAATTGTGGAGTGCACTGTTCTGTGGGGCTGGAAAGCATTGGTTTGTCTTCTTCCTTGGTTCTTCTCAGACTCTGAATGTGATGACCCTAGAGTTCAGCTGGACTCAGTAATAAGCAAAGATGTAAGAAGAGCTGTTTCTCCTATCCTCAGCTCAACTGCAACTGTGCTGACTATCCAAGGGCTTTCGCTGACCCATGTGTGTAAAATGAGTAAGGTGTAAATATTTTCACACCTGTTCAAAGTCAAGATCAGGTTACTCTTGGGCCTAGAATTAGGACATAAAATTCAAACATGGGTTACTGGGTATGGTAGGGTATGTGTCTTTCTATCCCTGTGCACATCTTCCTAGAAAAGTCTAAACTTATGTTTAATCTTTTATACTTTCAGAAGTGTATCATGTTATTGAGTGAATGGTTCTTTCAAATCTACCGCAACCAAAGAAGCAGATATATAGCATTCTACTCATGCTGACAAGAGCAGTGGCCTTCTGTTGCAATAGTGCCAAATATTTGAATGACTGTCTTGCCACAGTGCCATGAGTGAGTGACAATGTGTTATCCCACAGGGGACAGGATTCAAGGCTCAGTATATGTGATTTGGTGGCATGGGGCAATGGCTTACAGTGGGGTTCTTACTGTAACAATCTACTACTCCTCATTCAAATTCACCTTTAAAAAGAACTTGGCTGTCCACAGAGGAATAACCTCATATTAGTTATGGAAATGTTTGGGGGTCATTTTCATGTGTACAACCTGGTTAAAGTAAGGCAGTGACTTGGGTCAGCTGGGAGGCTCTGGGCTGGGGCAGGGGTCTGTCTCCACGGTGCCTTTTTCAGTGCGAGGAAGATCATGTGGGGTGGATGGTTCTCCAACATTACAACTGGGTACCAGTTACTAGTGCATGAAAAGTTATCAGAACCAAGCTTTTCTCCCTGTAACATTCATCCCTCTTCATCTCCACCCCTATTCCTGCCCACCTTCCCAAGGAAAGAAGCTCTGAAACCCATCCACTTTCCAGGCCAGTCACAGTGCAGCAGATTGATTCAAATTTTCTCTTCTCTTTTTCGTGTCATATCCAAGCACCGAAGCTGAACTCAAAATGAGCCCATCACCTATAAATTCTGACCTTGTGAATATTCATTTTCTCCAGTCAGATGCTCATTAGATTTTCAGCCAATTTTTATGCAGTGCCATAGGAAATGCCTTTTCTTCTCTCCCCCATAGGCTGTGGTTGTTCAGGCTGCAGGTCTATTTCAAAAATGCACACCCTCCAGGCTAGAGCTAAGTGGACTACAATGACTTGACACCTCTCCCAGAAGTTGTACTCAAAACAAAATAGAATCTGGAACTGTACTAAGCATTAGCTCTTCGAACATTTCCCTCTCTTACTGAAAAATCTCTCTCAAGATGCTTTATCCAAAGAATTTTATGGAGAGGAATCCTGGACTAGAAACTCACTATTTGCTTAGAGGATAATGTAGCACAAGGCAGGTTATCAATCCTGTTTCAGAATTGACATTTTAGAAAAACCACATCAGGTCTTTAACACTTCCAGCCCCTTTTCCACTCAGCTACCAAAAGACACTTCAACAGTGCAAGTCTAACCAAGACTCTGGCTCCCAACTCCTTACACGATGAACTCCATCTCTTCTATTCTTTCTACAAGATTCATTATGCTCCACCTGAGAAGAGAACCACTCCTTGCATGATACTTCCTGCCCTGGCAATGCCACATCATCCAGTGGAACACACCATGGAGTTTCATGTTTCCATGCCTTTGTGAATTCTTCCCCCATTCTGAAATACCCTGCTAGCTCTTTTGTTCTGGAAGGTTCCTCTCTTTGTTTTGAAAACCTAACTCATCCATCACTCCTTTCACAAAGGTTTCTGTGGTACCCAAGACCATCAATCATTGCTTTCTTGTGCCACTTTGGCACCTCTGCCTGTGTAATATGTCTACAGGCCTCCTATGCTCACAGAATTCTTGACATCGAGAACTATGTCCTATCCTCATACTTGCCCCATGACCCAAGCTCCATGCATGTTTTCTGAGTATACAAGAATGAAAAAATTGGTAAATATGAGGGGGACTCATGGCATGAATCTCAAGGATGATGCTCTAGCAAGGTTCCAACATTTTCACCTAAACAAAGCCTCACTGTTATAAAGGGAATAAAGAGAATTTGTTAAGCACAGAGTTGATTGACATCATCTCTGAGCAACAAGCACTCACACAAGATGCTGCATCAGACGTCACATCCACTCTTCCCTTCTCTCAACATCGTTTGCCTCTTATTATTCTAGTTACAGTGGTTGTTTTTTCAGTGTCAGCATAATGCCTGATGCAAAGTGGATACTTAACAAATACTATGAAAGGATGAATGAAAAAATGTGAAATAGATTTGTTAAAAAGAAGGCATCAAAGGATTGGCTTTTAAAGGCATTTCCCATATGACAGATTTTTCTGAGGCATCAGTGCCCCTGACCATTGGGTCATTAATCATTAGACATGACCCAAACAGGAAGTAGGACAAAGTGAGGGGATTTGAGATAGCAGTTAGGAATCTGCACTAGGTTTTTAGCATTGGGTTTTCCTTAGTCATATGTCAGTTTCCTTCTTTCTCAAGAAATAGCCAGTGATAGATGGTATTTCCTGCTCTCTTCTGTCAAAGGTCAACACTGGCATCATTGCAGTCTATATTCACTGGAAGCTTAAGGTACATTGATGAAGGTGATCACAGGTAATTTCCTATCTTCAAGTGCCATCATTATGCAGTAGAGACAAGTCCTTGAAATGGTTCATGGACTAAAACAGTTATCTTGAGGATAAAAGCTGTCCATTCACCATACCTACCAGGAGCAAAAGCTCTCGACTCAGACTGACCTGGGTTCAAATTCAGACTCCAGCTCTTTCTGAGCAAGTCAGTAGTTCTCTTAGGAGTCAAGTTGCCTCATTGTAAACTGAAAATAGTCTTATCTTCCTCACAGGATTGTTACAGGATTAGAGGATATAATGTGTATGAACTCTGCACAGTGTCTACAGATAGTAGTATTCAAAAATGGAAAACTCTGCCTAAGAATTTTCAAAAATATTTTTACAATAATCAGGACAAAAAAGAAATATTCTTTGAAGACACTGTGCTTTAAAGAGAATCGATTGTCTATGAGCCAACAATGCTTATTTATCAGTGCTCCATGGAAAAAATAGCATTGGCAGTTAAAACAATAGGTGTGGTATCACAAGGCCCAGGATGGACAGATAGTGACTGGACTGGGGACACCCAATCATTTCTCTGAGCATTGGTCCAAGAGGATTAATCCTGAAGGACTCATTTCTGATTCTTCTCTGTCGGATCCAGAGTGACTCAGAGTTGGAACCCCAGAGGAGCCAAGGTAAAGATGCCAAGAGTAAGATGCCAGTTCTGGTCTGTGAGCAGGTGCTCCTGGGTTTGAGGAAAGGTCAGGGGATGCCTGACTGCTGGACAGGAGTGAGGCAGGTAGAGCCATGTTGCTCTATATCATGCAAAGCCAGAAAAGCAAAGCATTTCCTGTGCTATTTTGATCCTCTTTGTACAATTCAAAGCCAACAGAGGGTTTACATTTCCCAAAATTTCTGCCCTGAGCATGAGACAACTTTTCTTATGCTAAATTTGGTTTTAGTTTTGAAGCACTTGAGATGCACAATACAAACATTCAAGTTTCTGGCTTCTTAAATTAATTAAACCATCCCCATCCATCAGGCTTACTTGGCTTGCCCTCATGTCAGCCATCTCTTATAATTCTTCCATCCATCATTCAAGAGGTTCCATGAAGAAAGCTCAGGGTTAGTGTTTGGGGAAGTATAAGCTAAGCCATCAGCCTTGGGAATAAAGATTAACTTCTATTATAGGGGATGGGTCAATTTATCTGGTTACTTTTAACAGCAGGGCAAGGACCCAAAATGGAAAAGAGAAGTGAGACTTCTTAATGTAGAGATAGCTCCATCACAGAAGATGGGATTCCTGGAAGAGACGGACCTTACTCAGGGGAAGCCTCAACCTGTCTGATTTAGTCTGAGCCTGTAAGAGGTCACAGTCCACTACCAGCTTTCTTGCCCTGGGCTCAGATTGGTGGGCAACATCCTAACAAAGGTGGCCCATGACTAGGCAGTGTTGTAGAGTGGAAAGAGCACTAGACTGGGAGTCTGGAGACCTGAATTCTAGTGCAGGCTCTGGCGCTAACTATCTGTGTGACCTTGGGCAAGTCACTTGATTTCTCTGGGGTAAATGTAAAATGAGGGGTTGTTTGGGTGATCTCTAAGTTCTCCCTCTGTGTGTAATCCAGGTTCCTATTCTTTCCCTCCTTGGCCCCGTGCTTCCAGGGACAGAGTTGGGAAAAGGGGAGGGAGGAAGGAGAGGTGAATCCATGGTGCCACAAATCAGGACTCCACTTTCTCCTTCTTTTTGCTCTTTTTCAGGAAAGAAGGGGTTCGGAATTTCTTTTTCTTCTTTGAAGGAGACTTGGAAGGTGAACCCTCTGGGGACATGGGGCCGCTGGTGACTGACTCGGTTTTGTCCTTGGAGGTATCAACATCCGTGTCAGCGTTGGTGGTCATCTGGCTCAAGCCTCTGCTGAGGATTTCCTCTGCCATCTGCTCTTCCTCCTTCCCGTTGACCACCACCCCTTCTGGCTGGGCAGTTTCAGACTCTGTGGTGGCTTTGCTTGGTTCTGTCTTCTTAGCATCTTCTAGAAAAAGATCAAAAGACATCACCCATAAAATTTTACTCAGGTGAGAGGGAGAGTACACACCTGTGATCTGCAGAACCATTTCTAGGGAATTCTAGTCAGTAATCTAGAGCAATGGGAGGGGTGGACTGACCTGGGCAGGGGGTGGGCTCTCAAGGGGATGGACAGATGTGGTTTTCATCCAAACCCTGTGCCCCTTTCCATGTGGCCTGCCTTGGGGAACATGTGCTTGGCAGGGCAGTAGCTCTGGGCTTTTGTCCACACATTTAAATGAATGCTGATGTCAGAACATGGCAGGGGGCCCAGCGGGGACTGAGTTCAGCCTATTTCTAGGCACAGAATGAGGAAACACAGAGGAGAGAGGGTGTTGGGAGGGGTTGTCATGTATACCACATGACATGGAAGCATCTAGAAACTATTGTAAGCAGTTCAGTTTCACCAATAAAAACATGCAAATGACATGTTTCCATATCGATTTCATTTTCTCTACCAGTAAGGAACTTAGGAAAATATGGAAAGTGTCTTCCCAGGAAACAAAAAAGGAGGTCAGCTGAAAAGGACTGGCTCATTCTAGTGGCCATAGGAACCCAGGTCTTTATTCTACCTGGAGTTTGCCAGGCACCATATTCAAGGCCAGAGCTGGTTAGAGCCCAGAAATTAAACCCTCTGTCCATGCTTTCTTTCTTCCCTGCCCTTAATACACCCTGCTTCCAAGCAAGGTTTGAAGTACTTAGGTACAGAGGGAAGAGGAAAAACTGTAAAACCATAGACTTTGAAAAGCAGAAAGCAGCATAAAGATCATCTGACTCCCTCCTCCCATTTCACCAATAAAAACTGAGTACAAGTCTACAATGCTGGGCAGCCACAGGTCACTGGCTTCTGGTTCAGTTCACGGAGCTGAAAGGAGAATCAATGTGTGATGTGTGTGTGCTGTGAACAAGTGTGAGTATGTACATGTGGAGTGAATACATAAGTGAGAGAGAGAATGGGTGTATGCAGTGTAACTGTTAGTGTACATGTATGGTGTGAGTGTGTGTGGTGGGTGTGGTGTGTCACACATCACAAGAAGGAAGTGTAGCATGCTTCATCACATAGGAATGTGAAAAATGGGTCAAGAAATAAGTTTTAGGCGAAGCCTATGGTTTGGACAGGGGTGGATAGGGGAAATAAAAGGCTACTTGGAGGATGGGCAGGAGGTGGGTAACCTTAGGACAGCTAGAACTACCCGGCAAGATCTCCTTATAGTGAGGTATTTAATAACTTCTGAAAATGCCACATCGTAGTCCTCTCCCAGACCCCTGCTGAAGATGATCTCCCTCTTAGCACCAGAGACTTTGGCCCCTTGCTCCTGTTCTTCCTGTTGCCCGTGTCCTATCCAGCTACCAAGTTCCCCAGTGTCCTGACTCCTAGCCCCCTCACTCTAGTCCACTCACCTCTGCCAGGTGTTCCCATGCTGCCATTTGGCCGTGCTCCTGAATGCTGTTAAGTTAGTCTGGACACAGCTGCTCTCTTCTTCAAACTTCACCTGCTATTTAGCTTCATCAGCCTTTTGGCCCCTGTCATCCCCTCCTGATTTCCGCTGTCTAGAAACCCTTCTTCTTTCCTTTCTGTATCACCAACCTTTACCTATATAATAAATCAGCTTGACTATTTCATCTTCCTTAAAGTCTTCCTTGATTCCCATTCCCATTTCTAGGTAAAACTGACCACTCTGTCCCTTTCTGCCTCTACTACATAAACTTCCATCATAGTAACTGTAAAACCATCACATTTGGCTTTTTCTCCTCCCCACGCCTCTAAACTGAAAGGAAGTAGAGCAAGACTGGGTCTAATTATCTGTGTAACTAGCTCCTAGAAGGTACTCAGATAATGTGGAATCCATGAATGGTTGACTGCATGAGCAAGGAAGTGAATGTGTGAATAGATTTATTCTATCCGAGCCAATACCATCACCTCATCACCTATATGCCTCTTTCCTGGCTATTCCAGCCTGTGCCTTCAAAGCTGAACTGTGTTCTTCCATGGGAACAGCCTGAGTGCTGCCCTTTGTCCCCTGTACCTACTCTCCTAGTTCTCATGTTCTTCTTCCTGGGCTTTTTTTTTTATGTCCCGTGGTCCTGCCACTTCAGCCCAGACCCTTAGTGCAGATGCCTTGCTTGGTTGACACATTAGGACATGTTTCTTGAGCTTTATGCTTGGCGCTGTCCCTCTGAGATGACACTGGTACTTGCCTCCTAGCTCCACAATTGTTTAACTGTGGATAAGAGGGGTTCCAGCTTTCTGTTCAAGTGTCATTTCCTACCCTGGTGGTAATGAGGGTCCTCAATGAAATCATGTCCTTTATCCATGACCTATTTGTGTCCCTTCACTCACACTTGCTCTGCTGTCAGCCTCACCTACAGCCTCAGTCCCTGGTGTGTCTTCATTTAGAAGAGCAACACTCATCATGTAGAAAATGAGGGTCACACTCAGTGCACCCAGGATAATCTCAGTGAGCTCCCTCATGGCAAATTGCCTAGGGAGTAATGGCAAATGGAATGTGGAGCTGGAGAAGCCAGGTTTCAAATTGAGGTCACAGCTCCCTCAACTATAGGGACATGGACCACTGGAGGGCGCTGTGGCCAAGAGAACGGACAGTGGGTCAGGCTCCAGAAAGAAACAAGTTTGGGCCCTCAGAAAGTATCAAGGGCTGGTTCTGACAGGCTAGATCCATCTTCCGTTAACAACCCAGGAGAAGTAAGTTGAAAAGTAGGCTGGAAGGGACCTCAAGAACTAGGTGCATGTGGGAGCTCACGTTCCAGCATCCTCTAAGAAATACTCGTGGCTTTCTGTCCTGAGTGGAGCACTTGAGGTTCAGGAAATGAGAAACAGTGTAGGAGTGAGTAGAGTTGAGAGGAAACTGCAAAATTGGGGATTCTGTTCAGAAAGGGGGAAATTGGAAGAGCAGGTGATTGGGAAATGGACTAGACTCAGAAGAGTTGGGTCAACTCCAAGATATGCAAGGCTTCCAGAGGCTGGAGAAAAAGGGAGACTTCTGTAGGGAGGTCCAGAGCTTCCTTGGGCTCTTGCCTCTTGCAGACTTGATTTCTCACTGTCACACAGCCTCCAACCACTTATCCAATATCCTGAAATGGTTAATTTTTTGTGTGTTAACTTTATTGAGTTAAGGAATGCCCAGGTAGGTGGTAAAACATCATTTCTGAGTGTGTTGTGAAGATTTTTCTGGAAGAGATTAGCACTTGAATCAGTAGACTGTTCAAAGAAGATGAGGCTTCATCAATATGGTTGGGACCAAGCCACTGAGGGCCCAAAGAGAATGAGAAACTAGAAGAAGTATCTCTCTCCATCCCTCTCTCTCTCCATCTCTCTCTCTCTCTTTCTCTCTCTCTGTCTGTCTCTCTGTCTCTCTCTCTCTGTCTCTCTGTCTGTCTCTCTGTCTCTCTGTCTCTCTCTCTCTCTCTCTCTCTCTCTCTCTCTCTCCTTGAGCTGGGCTGTCATTTCTTCCTGTCCTCTGGAGCTCTGTCAGGCCTTGCAGAAACTCTGTTGTGGGTCTTCTCAGCCTCCATAATCATGTGGGGCAATTCCCTAATTACTATTCTTTAATATATCATTGTATGCCTTATTGGTTTTGTTTCTCTGAAGAACCCTAATAAGTCACCTTCCAGGAATGCTCACTCCCCCAGCTTCCTAGATATTATCCCTGGAAAGCCCACCCCACTCCTGTCTGCCAGGCCAAGTGTGTATCTACCTAAAGTCTGGCTCAAACCACACTTTATCTGTGCAGCGTCCCCTAACACTTGACGATGATCTGCCCCTCTTCTAAACTTACTACTCACCTATTCATTTTACACTTACATGTGTCATTTGTCTTTAAAGAATCCATTTATCACCTAAGTAGACCATTCAGGACAATAACTCTGTATTCTACTTTTCTGACAACCACCACCCAGTTTAGTGACAACATGTTTGAGCCTTTTGCCAAGTAAGACCAGATGAAGGCTCAATATAAGATGCCTTGCTTCTCCTTAGCACTGGGGTGGGGACATGGGGAAGGACTTTGGATCTTGCCCAACTGCAGGATCAAGGCTATCTTTCCTTCCTGGCCCAAATGAACCTGTCTTCTAACATCTCAGAGTCAAATATGTGACCACAGCCACAGCCACAGCCCCACAACTTCGAGGCTCTCTATTTGCAGCAAGGGAGACGCCAGTGGGCCTGGAAGCAGGATTTGCTGACTTGCTTCTGAATTCAAGGTCAACCAACTGATCATGATCTGTATCCCAAATGGAGAACTGGTGACTGCCATGTGTTGTTTTTACTTTCCTGCTGAAAAGGAATCTCTATACCATTGCACAGGGAACCCAAGAAAAGTGTTCATTAAAGGCTTTGGAAAAAATTTATGACTTATGCTGACATAGGACTTGGTGATCATGTAGCAACAGTCAAAAAATCCACAAGGTGGATTTTTTTTTTCCTCCTTCAGGAGGAAAGAAGAGCAGCAAACAGAACTGCCCCACTGCTGATCAAATTACTAATAGTGACCATGCAGAGAGCTTTTCAATAGAATCTCTGTCCTGATTTAATTTAATGTCTGAAAAGAATCACCCAGGGCCACCAGGGAAAATGCAGCTTCCAAGTCTTACCTTCATAATAGATTTTTGAAACAGTGGGCCAAGACATTTTTATTTTTAAACAAGTCCTTAAGTAAATTCTAATACAAAATCCCTATTGGCCACACATTGGGAAACATGGAATTGGAATGACATATTTCCCTTCACATTTACCTTCCCCAAGGAGTGAGACAACAAAGAAAGTACAGCTTCTTGTAAAGAGGTATACAGAGTTACTCTCTATAGCTCCCACCTACTCATGATAGTTGGGACATAAAAGTTCCCCTGAGCACCCAAATATATTTTTAGTGTGTGGAATAGCCATATGCAAATATGGCACCTATGAACCATGACTCCAGATATTCACATACTTGGGTAATCCCTCCATACATACTAAATCTAGGATGGCCTGGATGGCTCACTAGAACCACTAGAATACAGAAGTACTGCAGAGCCAGTCTCAGGCCAAGGACTTAAGGTCTAGCAGCGTCTGCTTCCTATTGCACCATGTATAAAATCCAACTACCCCAATGGCAACACATGGAAATGCCACATGGAGAGGACCTGAGACCACACAGAGAGGACCTGAGATGAGAGAGAGAGAGAGAGAGAGAGAGAGAGAGAGAGAGATCCAGACCCACTCTAGAGTCCCAGCCAAGCACAGCCAGCCTTGTAGTGCTTTGGCCAAGGTACTAGACATGTGAGGGTGCCATCTTGGAAGTTCCAACCAGTCAAGTTCCTGGCTGACTACAATCCCAGCTGACATCACATGGAGCAAAAGAACCATCAAGCTAAACCCAGTCAACTCCAGTCAATTCACAGAACTAATTTCCATAAAACTAGTTCTTATTAAGCACCATGATTTAATCTCTAGTGCTGCATAACAAACTGTCCTAAAACTTAAAGGTTTAAAACATCAAGCGGTGTATTCATTCTCACAATTCAGAGTACATGGTATATAACAACAACTAATTTATGTAAAGCTCATTACAAAGTGGTTTTCTATTCTTTAGCTCATTTTATTTTGACAATAGTGCTGTGAGTTACAAAGAGCAAGAGTCTGCGTTAGTCCCTCATTCTGCAGTGTTAAGTGACTTATTTGAGATGGCTAAATTATTTAGACGCAGAGCTGATCATCTCATGTCAAATATAGGGCTATTCTTCTGCAAGTTAGTTAGCAGAGACAGACATCAGTCAGGGGCTAGTCCAAGAGAAGATGGCACAAATGGCCAGATGTAAAGGAAGAAGATTTGAGAAAGTCCCCTTCAGAGAGGTTAATGGGATAGGAGTCAGTGACGCAGATGAAGATGACTAAACTAAGGTGACTCAGCACAAGTGGATTTGACAGCAAAGTGATAAATGGTTGAAAAAAGCTACCCTTGATCTGATGGGTCAGCTAAATGTGAGAATGCAAATGTTGCCCTGTATGTGAGCCCTATCTACCCTGAGGAGCTGGCCAAAGTTACCCAGCCCCACCTCACACTGTTCACTCCACATAACTACAGCTCAGACCCTCATCATGCAGGTTCTGTTCCAAGATAGCCACACTTCCTAGTACAGTCTCTGGTGCAGGAAGTGTCTTCAGGGAAGATCATAATTTTTCTAACAACACAACCACAGTATGCCTTTCCAGGAGTATGGATTTGGACCCTAGAAAATGAAGACTCCTGCCACGCAGGTATGATGTCAGGGGATGGGTAGCAACCATCCTATCCATCCTATGCTCTTCCTGCTCTCTGTTCCTTCTAGGGGCTTCTGATAAATTATCACCTTTGTTTCACTCCTGGCACAAGCCTTCTCTCCAGCCCGGGATATCCTTCCTGTAGTTGCTATGCATGTCCTAAGATCAGGGCCTCTCCATTGCCTTATGTACCAGCTAGTCCCCAAGGGCATCTGGCCTCTGGCCTGCAGTCCTCTGAGAGATTATGGGTACCTGAGAGGCACCCATGCATTAGGAACAGGGGTTGCAGTAAGCTCCTTGGGGCCATAAGCACTCTACTGCAGACAGCACTGAGAGCAGCCCCATTGTCCCTCATGGTAGGGGTTGATGCTTCTAGATGTGTGTGCCCTGTGTGTGGGTGTTTGTTTGTGCATGCATGTGTCCTATGTCTCTCACAGGAAAGCTTTGCCCATGCATGGTGCAGGTGGAGTTGGTCATGAATTTTACATCCAGGAAACTTCCCAAAGATGGGGCTGTGAGTTGCAAAAGAAAAAACTGGGAGAAGTACATTACCTTTGAAAACTTCCTCCCTCCCCCACTGCAAATGTTGGAGTGAGTAAACAGCCTCGCTATACTTACTACAGAGACAAGTATTCAGAATCGGAGGAAACTCCTTCGATGAAGGCACAAATGGGAAGAGAAAGGAAGACGTTGTGGAGACAGGTTGACAACACAACACCACAATGAGACACATGAACACAAACGGTTGTGGTACATCCACTTGGGGCTGCAGCCTCAAGCAGATGAGTTTTCTCTGGCAATGCTAGAGCTGTGCTCAAGGCAGCAGTTGGTTTCTGGAGGGAGCTCAGGGTAGAGAGCCACCTGAATCTGCCTATGTAGCCATTCTACCCAAGAGGGAGAAGATTCTGGCAGGCCACCAAGGTGCTGCTTTCTGGATGGCAGCATAGCCCTCTCTACCGGAGCCTCTCAGGGAGCCAGCGGGGGAGTGTCATGCCCTGGAGTGATTTGAGGAGCTCATTAAAGACACTTTTATGATTTAAGTAGCTATAATAATAGTATATAATAGTATCATTGTCCACCATATCATAATCATAGTTATATCTTTTTTTGGTACTGGGGATCAAACTCGGGTCCTTGCACTTGTAGGGCAGGTAGCGGAACCACTGAGCTAAATCCCCAGCCCCATAATTATGTCTTATATTTAAATCATGCTTTTACTATTTCAAAGTGTGATTGCACCTCCCTTATACATATAAGAACCTTTAAAAGGAAAAATATTAATAACCCCATTTCACATATAAGAAAACTGAGGCACAAATGTTCTTTAGTATGTTAAAATCAGCAGTTCAGTGGGGCCTACACCTTGGACCTCTAAACTAATCTCTCTAAAAGAGCTGTTCTCAACCTGTTCTACACTTTAGATGCCCCTGGAGAGATCTGAACAACTCCAGGCTGCAGTCCTTCCACTTAACTCTGAAAGGCTGGGTGTGGGATCCAGGCATCAGGATTTTTAAAGCTCCTCAGGTGATGCCGATGTGTAGTTGAGGTTAAGAATGACATCAGCCTCACTCTGGGAAATTCAATCTCAGAACCCAGTCCAGACCTTAAGGATCAGAATCTTCATGTTAACAAGATCCTCAGGTGGGTCTCAGCTGGAGGAGAGGAGGCTGTGGATCAAAAGGGTCAGTCCTTGGTTCACTCATCGCTTAGCAGGGTGTAAGGTGTAAGGTCTATTGTCATAGCTCCTGAATGAAACAAAGTGAAAATTGCTCAGATGTCCTAGAAATAGTAGAGGGGAAAGTGGTGGTGGAGGGGAGGGTAGAAGCAACACCCATCGAAAGGCAGGTACCTGCAATGTGAGTACCTGCCCTGCCCTCTACACAGGCGCCTTTCCAGCCTGCAGATGCTCCCCCCTCCCCCCAGTATGCTCAGCTCCACTCACCCTCAGTGGACTTGGAAGGAGAGACTGCGGGGCTCTTTGCCTCTGTCTTTGTTGGACTCTGTGCTGGAGAAGCAGGTGCAGACTTAACAGGGGAGCCAGGCTCTTCTGTGGCAGTGTCCTTCTCTCCTGGAAATACAGTGAGATGAGCAAAGAGAGTGAGTATGAAAAGCAGTGTGTTTTTCTTTTCAGTTATCATTTCTCCTGGCTGATAATGGATCTTCTGGCTGTAGTTAACTGGCTTCTCTTGAGCTTTTAATGTCTGCTTCTTCCTTGGGGAGGCAAATAGGAGAAGCATGACATTGTTTCCTTCATCAAAGAACATCCACCAGTGCAGTATAGGGATGGCAAGATGGCAGGAAGAGTGTCCAACATATCCTGGCTTGGAAGAGGGCCAGCCAGATACATACATCAGTGGGTCAGAGTGGGGCCCCAAAGAACCACTTACTCCCCTTACATACCAAGGATTTGTTCGCATGTAGCTAATTTATTAACTTAATTTACAGTTTCTTGTCCAAACAATTCCCAGGGATAAAAAGCACCAGGCTTTTCTATTCTTCCAATTGGCACATCAGAACTCCATGAGAGCTGGGAAGGTGGCTGATGCTGGGTGTGGGGAAGTAAGGGAGGAAGTCCTTGCCCTGAGGAATGACAGCTCAAACCGGCGGACACAACCAAAAGCTGAATTATGTGTCTCACACCCCAGATGCTCTTAAAACAAAGAGGAGGGATTGGGGTGGATTGGAGACGGTGACAGAGAGACCTTCCTAGTTGGAGGGGGATTTGAGATGGAGCCTGCAGTCCTGATGACTTTAGAACAGACTAGCTGAGAAGGGAAACAGTCCCAGGAAGGGACAAAAGCATGAACCAGGGAATAAAACCTATCATTTATGAGCATTTGGGGATCAACACGGGGAAGGGCTGGACTGAAGTCTCTGACATAAAGGAGAAAATGATGTAAAGGTGTCAGCTAGTGGACCGAGCTCTGACAGCAGGGTAAAAAGTTTACATCAGACCTGATAGGTCATTAGTAATAATTATGATTATTATACCTATTTTACTACAGCTAACATTTTTTTCTGGTATTTACCAACATAAGCCATATTTACAGGCATTATTCTAAGTACTTTACAAATATCAAATCTTTTATACTTAGATAAGAGGGACAATGATGTCATGAAGGCACCACGGAACTGTTAGGCAGAGAGCAAGGAGGGACATTATTGTGATTAACAGTGTTCTGCTAATAAGAACATTATTTGATGATGGGGCAGGAAGGTCCTTACTGGGAGTCCTACACTTAACCTCAACCCTGGGAGACTCTGAAGCCATGATGCCTCGGGGTTATTTACCATCTAGTTCCAGTTTCTTCCTCTCCACCTCTTTCTTGTACTCCTCCAGCTCCTGGTCAGTGAGTTGGCTGAAGGGGTTGGGTACCGTCTCCTCTGAATCATCTTTGGTATCCGCATCACCCTTGGACATCAACTGGCTCTCTGTAGACTGAAAGTTAACCACAGAGTGTGTGTTGTTCTCTGAGTGCCGAAGTTGGGGGCCCGGGCCTGAGCTTCCTTTCAGACTCGGGTGGCTGCCAACAGTCTTGCTAGGGATAGTGTGGCATGCAGCATCTTGGAAACAGCTCAGGGGCTTGGGGTGGGGCTTGTTCATTCTTCCTGATTGCTACCTCATGCCCAGACCCAGATTTTGCAACTGTTTGGATGAATACATGAGTCTACCCTCTGCCCCTGAAATAAAATCAAAGGATGCTCCCAAGCAGTAGGAAGACACACCTTTATTGCAATCCCTCTATGGATACTCCAAGCCGGTACTGATGCAAAAACACTTAGTGGCCCAAAGTCAGTCAGCCAAAGCCCAGCAAGCATAGCATTGGCTCAAGAAAGCTTCAAGCCAGGCACTCCCCACCACTACCCACCACCCTGTCCCCAACAGAAGTGCAAGCCACAACATACAGCATTAAGTAATCTGCAAAACACAGCAGCTTCAGCATTCTCAGTCCAAGCAGTTAGTCTTGTTTTGTACCCACTCATAAATTACAAAGGGGCCAAGGTCCTAAGTCTCAGATCTTCAGCTTGCCTATAATGCAGGTCCCTACAGGGACACTGGCAAAAATCACTCCATTTTACCACCTCTGTGGGGCCCTTTGCCCTGAGGCGCTGACCAGCCAGATTTTGTGTAAGCTTCAGGAACACGTGGGTCCCTCTAGTCCCTATCTTGGCTGAGTTGGATGGGCGAGAGGTGGGTGTGCAGATATGATGTCCACCCTTCTCCTGCCAGCAGGCCCCCACCTTATGGGCTTCAGCCTGATCTAAAACTGTCATATCATCTTGACTTGCTCTGTAGAGAGCAAGATTACCTGTACTTCTTCACTTTTTACTGCTAAGGGAAATGCCACACACGCCCATTGCCACCTTGCCATGAGCAGCAATGATTTGACACAACACAAGCCAGGATTCTGAACTTCACTCTTGTTGCTAAGCACTAGACAAAACACCATCTATCTCACACACAAAAACAATGGCTTTTTGCTTTCTAACTCTAAGTGGGTTTGTGTGGGCAGCTAAGTGCCCTTCCCAATGTGTAGGAAACCTGATCCTGTCTACATGTCCTTCTCTGTGGGTCAGGAGCATCTTTCCAGAGCTCTGGCTGATGATGCTATATTCACACCCCAGAGGTCAGAAACACTGGGGACCAGGCAGGGTTGGGCACCTGGGAGCCAGCTGCTCTCTGCAGGGTACTAATAGGGGGCCAAGTAGAGTCCATGGTGGAAAGTAGGGAACTGGCCAGCAGTAACCCTGTAGGCAGGCTGGGCTGCAGCCCCCTGCCTGGTGCCCACAGTGTGTGGTTAGACACTGTCCTGCCAGAACCTCACAGCTTCCCTGTAAGGTGAACCTCCATTTTGCAGCAAAAGCACCAATGCCTAAGATCACAGGGAAGGGTGAGCATGAGGAGTCAGGGGTCCTGCTGAGAAGACCCAGAAGGCAAACACACTTCCCCTCCAGCAAGGGGTGGCCTCTGCTGTACCGGACTTCGGCTCTTCTCAGCGATGACGCTTGCCAGGAGCTGGGACTGAGGCCCTGCTGACTTCACATCTTGTCGGTTTTGTTCTCGAATCTGTGTCGAAAGGGGAGAGTGAGGGTTCAGCATCAGTGTGTGGAGTTTGTCAGGGGGCACAGTGAAGTTCAGTGTGGCCTAAGCCTGGTGTGGAAAATGGTCCTCCAGTGCCCTTCCCTATTCTAACATAACCTGTCTGTTCCTAGAGATGATCCCCATGCCTGGTCCAGAGTAAATTCATTGTTCATGTAAAACACCAGATTTGCATTAACTCTGAGGAGTCATAAGAGGAAAGAGGCCAGTGAGTTCCTTGAGGGAGGGTCTCACATTTTTATATTCCCAAGAAGCCCCTGAGAAATTTGCTTTAAATATACATTACTGGGACCGCCCCACACCTATTACATCTAAACCCTGAGAAGAGGTTGGGAGGTGTTAACCACAGAATATGAAATGAGCACTGAACCCTGTTCTGGGAGCTATCAACCTACTGGGGGTGGTCTGCTATGACTCCAATTTTAAGGTAACATTAGGGTATAAGTGAGTGAACTGTCAGGCATTAGCCCAGAGATAAAGGCAAAAGGTCTTGAGAATAAGCCAAAAGGAAAATTATATAAAATTCATAACAACCCATTCCATGGTGGTACTTTAGACATACCTACCATTATGTTTGTAGGACTTCAGAGCCCCTTGTGAAGAAAAGAGGGACAAGCAGCCACCACCTTACCTTGTTCCTCATGTCCAGCACTTCTTGAGGGTCAGTGTAGAGAGGCACAAATTGGTTTGGGTTTTCAATCCGAATCGGCATGCCACTGCTGGATTTTTCTACCTCATCAGCTTTCATCCACTACAAATGCAAGACCAGTGGGTGAGGCAAAGGAAGAAGGCCCACTGTCCTCCTTAGAGGTCCACTCATTGAGATCTGAACCTACCAGCCTACATGGAGGGTCAAACAGACTGTCTATAGATATTCTTTCTTCTTGGGCTTCATTAATGTCTCCCAGGGGAGAGATGGTTGACAGATGACCCAGCTGCCAAAGAAGGCCCTCAAACCATAAAGAACATGGCAGAGCAAGGAGCCAAGCAGGAGTCAGATCCTTGGTAAGAGGCTTAGATGGGTAACCACTGAAGTTTGAGTATCAGATGACTCAATTTGAATTGTTTTAAGAGTTGCATATTTCATGCAGAGCTACTCTATTTGCTACCGTTACCTTTATGTTAATGAAAAATCAAATTGAGAGTCTATGTATATATGAGAGAAGAGGGAAAGAGAGAGAGAGAGAAGGCGACTTAATACAAGTGACAGTACCTCTCACCTCCTGGGTTTCATCAGACCTAGAGTCCAAATGTTGGACGCCCATCCCTGGAATTTTCTAGAAGCCCCCTCAAGACATGGGAGCAAAGAGCGAAAAACCAACTACTCTTGGGTCTTGTGCTGCTGGGAGTAGTCTCATCTACTGCCCTCTAGAGAAACCTGGTCCTCAGACCTAACAACTCAGAGCAGAAGGGCAAGAAAGAGGGCCTGAGCAGCTGCTCCCAAGGACCCAAAAGGGAGTCCTAAGAAGAAATTGAATAAAACTCTGTGTAAGATAGACTCCATTCTTCTTATAAAGCTGCTTACACCCACAAATACAGGTTGCCCTTTCCTCCCAGGGCTGTCCTAGCTTCCCTCTTACCGTGGTCTTGGGCCGCGGGGTACCCATGCTTCTCTGGACCTCATCCGCCATGTTGACCCTCAGGTAGGTGTTGGGCGTGTTCAGCCAACGGGTCTTCTCCTTCTGCTGCTTCTGGGCATGCTGCCGCAAGGCAGGCACTGGGGCACCATCCTCCTCAAACACAAAGGCTGTGACTGTGGCTGGGATCTCCACCTCACTTTTGTGTTTGGTTTTCTCTTGGACAAAGGGATGGCGGTATGTGTAGCCTGTTCTGTATCCCTAAAAATGGACAAAAATAGAACCATTAATAGTGGAGGAAAAAGGTCTGTAGATGCACACACTCCCAAGCATACATTTTGCCCTCTTCCATTTAAAGTACTCACTTTAAACCCAAATTTCCATTGGACAATTTGCCATGTTGCTGTTTTGGTATCTTTCAGAATTGTCTCCTCCTACTGGTCTCCCACATGCCCACTGATTGATTGGGACTGAAAGAATTCCTGTGTTCAGAACTTTGTGAACACAGAGGCCCAAATTGCATCTGGCCCAGTGGTTCTCAACCTTGGCTGCACACTGGAATCTCCAGGGGAGCTTTGAAAATACTCATGTCTGTTGGACCTCAGAGTTGCTGGCTTAACAGGATAATGGCTTAATTGGACATGGCATGGCCTGGGTTGTAAGACTGCTAAAAGCTTCCCTGTTTCCCTCCTGGAACATAGAAAGCTGACTCAAGAACCTCCTGGTCTCCTAAGAAAGACCATCTACATATACAAAGGCAGAGCTGACAGCTGTTCAGTGAGAACACACACCAAGGAAGGTGCCATCTGCCAGAACAATACTCAGTTCTCCCTTTTTCTTTTTAAATTAAAATGGCAGTAAGGTATTTTTCTGATTATAAAGAGAATACAGATCCATATATAAAAATTAAACAATATAGAAAAACATAAAGAAAAAATGTGAACTTTATGCAAAAGCATAGCCCCAGAGACAACCACAAAAACTTTCTAGTCATCTCTGTGTATGTAAGCATATAATTTTCTATTGAGATATTTATCTTTTTCACATTGATATATAATCTCTTTTCACAGTAAGACTGTTAATCGTCAGCTGTTGGTTAATGCTGCAAATATTTACCTCTCTAATTTGTATTTTAGCTTTGTTTATGGTTGTGGAATGGTTTACAGAAATGTAAATTTGTGTGTGTGTGTGTGTGTGTGTGTGTGTGTGTGTGTGTTACTGGCAGTTGAACTTGGGGCCTTTGTATTGAGCTACATCTCTATCCCTTTTTATTTTTATTTTTGTTTCAGATTTTGAGACAGGTTCTTACTGAGTTTCCCAGGCTGGCCTTGAACTTGTAATCTTCTTGCTTCAGCCTCCCAAGACACTGGGATTACAGGCATGCACTATCAGGCCCAACTTGAATTTTTAATGTAATTGCATTTGTCAGTATTTGCATCATGATTTCTGACTATCTTGCCATGCTTAACAAGGTCTTTCCCAATGCAAGAGCACTGAAAATATACATCAATGTTTTTAAATACCTTAGTAAGCTTATTTTTCATGTTAAAATTTTGGAAAACTCAGGCTTTTATGCTGTTGAAAGGAATGCAGTAGTAATTTGCCTTAGTTTTCTTTCCCAAATGGCTAAAGGTCTATCTTTTCCTCACTGATTTATAAAGTGTCTTCTTACCCTGTGTTAAATCTCATATATTTTGGGTCCATTTCTGGATTCTCTAAGGTGTTGTATAGGTTTGCTTGTCCATTGTATTACTAACACTTTATCACACTTTAGTATGGGGTGGAACCGGTAATCCCTACTTAGATACTTTTTGTAGCATTTTTCTAACCATTCTGAGTTTCATATTGAAAGCACATTTTAAGTCTTTGTACCTTCCCTCATTTTTGAGAGAACTACATTCAGTTTGTAGACTGATTTTGGGGGCCATTACTTCTTCACCTTGTTGAGGTTTTCTAATCAAGGATAAATTACAACTCTTCACTGATTGTGGGGGACCACTCCATTGATTATGCCCAAAGCAGGCTGTAAACAGTGCAGGCTGTAAAGAGTTAACCCTGCAATTGGCTTATTTTAAGAAGTATGACCAAAGCATCTGAGATAGCACACAGCTGAGGTCAGAGTGACTCTTACCCAAATTCCATTCCCAGACCAACACAAGAATGGTTTGTCTCTTCTCTTACAAACGTTGCCTGCATTGACAACAAATCCCTAGCAACCACAAGTAGTTCCTTCACCCCAACCTAATAATGATTATGTCACCAATAAATATCAACAGTTCTGGCTCTTCAAGACCTTTGCTTGCTCAAGCACTGGTCAACCCAGTTCCCCATCTCTTTAATTCTGTCTCTAGGTCTTTCTTCTTGCCATGCACTGAGCAGAAGATCAGGATCCATCACAGGGGTCCCCATTACTGATTTCAAGTTTTCTCTGAAGTCTATGAGTAAATTTTACCATTTTCTTTAAATGAGGTCTGTGTAATATTTATGACTTTGCTATACTTGCAATAGGATTATTTTCTTCCATTATCATTATTATTATTTGTAACTCTTGGGGTCAAACCCAGGGCCTTGCACATCACACGTGCTAGACAAGTGCTATACAAATAAGCTATATTCCCCCAAACCCCATTATATTTTCCAACTAGTTCATGCTAAGATACAAAGACTGATTTTTGTATATATTTTGCATGTATTTTTGTATATATTTTAATATATTTTTTCATAATTGATTACCTTAAAATATCCTCATTGCTTCTCATTTTTTCAGATGATTTTGGACTTACTAGGCATATAATAATAACCTTATTTCATTACTAATATTTGTACCTCTTTCTTATATCTCACTGCCTAGATTGAGTTTCAATATTAATCCAGAATACTGTTAAATAATCATCCTAAGAACAGAAATAATTATTTTGTTTCAAAGTTTGATGGAAATGCTTTTAGTATTTCACCATTATATGGACTTTTGGGGAAAAGTCATTTTAATCATGTTAAGTAAATGTCCTGTCCCAGTTGATAGCTGTTATTTTTATAAATTGATGTTAAATTTTTATCAAATTCCTTGATATTTATTAACATGATCAAAAAGTTTTTATCCTTTGAATATTCAGTATCATGAAATATATTTAAAAGATTTATAATGTTAAACCATCCTTGCATTCTAGGGATGAGTCCTCAGTTACTGTGTAGTATTATTCTAAAGTTATGCTCAATACTACTTGCTAGTTTTTAAGAAGCATGTTTTTCAGTAGTAGAGACTGAACTCAGGGCCTTTGAACTGACCTACACCATTAGTCTTTGTTTTATTTTCATTTTGAGACAGTCTCACTAAGTTGTCAGGCTGGGCTTAAACTTGTCATCCTCTCACCTCAGCCTCCTACAGTGCTGGGATTACAGGCATGTGTCACCATGTCTGGCTCAGGCAGCATTTTTTTCATTAACATACAAATTGTAATTGGTCTGAACATGCTATAATCGTTACAGCTTAGTATCCTTCTTTCACTCTTCTATGAAACAGAAAGACAGGACTAATTACATAAGAGGCATGAGCTAAGTCCCAGTATAAGAGAGGCTATGGATATAAAAACCACTACTTCTTATAGAAATACTGGATCACTACATCTCACAAAGCACTCTGCAAAGATGATATCCATAGCAACTAGAATTATTGAAAATTCTAAATCAAATTGCCCATAAGTGAAGCTTTCAACAACTTAGTCAAGGTGTTGGCAGATTTTTCTGCCCACTTAATACTTTGTACTATCTGGTTCTGGGGGCTAAGTCTCCATGGCCTGGCCTAGAAGAGAAAATTGCAGGGGACTCACCAGGTTGTCCAGCATCCTCATGAGGGCCTCAAACTCATGCTCCCCTAGCCGGCTCTTCTGCATGGGTCCAAAGGTGCTCCCGGCCCACTGCACCGAGCCCACTTCATGGGGCCGGTGCTTCTCCTGCTCCAGAAGAATGAGGTTCTCCACTCCTCCAGCGCTGGATAGAGCCGACACCTGCAGCAAGGAGAGCCAGACCCCACATTCACATAGGACCCTGGCCCTTGCCTGTGCCCCTGATGCAGTGTAACCACAGAGGATGCAGAGGAGAACACAGAAACCAGAAACAGGTGGGAAACTGAGGGAAAGCTACACAAAACTTGGGCATGCACTCATTTCCATGAAGTGAAGTATTAGTCTTTCTTTTCCTGATCACATTTCTTAGAGAACAGAAAAAAGAAAGAAATAGCAAGTGTAAACCCTAGGAATAAAAGGAAACAGAGGAATGGAAAAGTATTTAGGATAGAGACCAACTTAGACTTGTAACTATTTCTGGAAAGAGAGGGAGGATGAAGTTGGAAAGGGCTCCAAAGAAGACTTCAGCTCTTGTCTGTAATATTTCTTGAAGAGGAAAAATATTTGAAGAAAAGGGCTATTAATATTGGTTAAATTTGAGTGGTGGGTGTCTGTTATTCTTGGTATTTTTGTGTATGTATGAAATCTTTCTTTTTAAGTTTCTTAAAGACAATACGGAGGATGTAGGTGGTTGCAGGCAGTGGATTTGGAATAATAGGACAAGAGAGATGTATATACAGCAGGCAATTTTAGAATAATTCTTAAAAACCATTCATTTAACTAATCTTATTTTCCAATTGCATGCTCATCTAAGAGTACATTCTATTGACCTCAAATATCCAGCACTCAGATGTAATGAGTTAGGATTTAGCTTCCTAGGTAAGTTCAGCTACAGAGAGAAAGAGAGGCTCTTGGGTAGTCTCGCTAGAGTGAGCCAGGTGCACTATCCACTAATCTATTCAGCTGCCTGAGTAAGACTGGATGTCCTATGTAAGCTTGCTATTACAGGGGAGCTGCTCTGATTACAAATGCTTGCAATTATTTGGTGTTTTTGTGTTAGTTACTTCTTACTGAAAACTAAAGATCCATTTATCCTGGTGACAAACGCATGTCTATTAACCCATGAAGATCCAGACATCCCATAGTGTCACATTTACCATGCTTCATAGATGCCCCTATACTGCTTCTTAGAGGTCAGCCCAGCAACCTCCCCAGGTGAACCCCATCACTCTGAGAAGAGGAGGAAGGAAGGAGATATTCCACATTCTTCTCACTCAAGGCACCTGACCAGGTGTCCAAATGACTGTTCCCACTGCTCCTGCTCTGGAGAGGCAGTGCAAGGTAGTGTGTAAAGGCACAAACTTGGGTGTCAGTCTACCTGGGTTTCAATCCTGGTTTTGCTACTTCCTGTGTGATTTGGGGCAGTTATTTACCATTTGTGTGCCTCTAGTTTCCTCATCTGTAAAGTGAAAATAGCAATGTAGCACAACTCCTACCTTGTGAGGAGTCTTCAAGATAATGGTTGTAAAACACTTAGAATAGCCTTGGTGCCTAAAGAGTGCCCTGAGAATGCTGCTAGGAAATGAATGAGATACAAACTCCACTGGGACTGGTCATTAAAGGAGAAAGAGAGGAAGGGAGGCAACTGTTCACAATGTTGCAAGAGCTGCCTCCCCCACCTCTCTCTTCCTCCACTGGTTTCCATGGTGATGGGTAGCAGATGGAAAAGAATTGCATGCTCATCTTCCCATCTGCCTGTCAGCAGAGCAGGGTGCTGCCTTTCTCAGCTAGGAATGACCCAGTTTCCTGGAACCCCAAATTGGTGGGAAGCAAAGAAAACACGGTCCCCAGGAGAGCTGAACAGGCACTCAGCCTTGAAGCACAAACATGACCACAGCCACATCTGCTTGTTTGCCAATGTCACTGAGGGAGAAAGTGGGGCCCGTGGTGGAAACAGAGCTTCAGTGGTGGTCATTCCATCCAAAATGATCCAGGTGTGACCCAACAGCACCTGCAGCTTGTTGCTACATGTGCTCTTCATATCCTGATCCACTATCCTCTGGTTTAATCTTCAAAAACATCTAGCTCTATTCCTCCCTCCAGAAGCCTCTCCCCCATCAGCCGAAAAAAAAAAAAAATACATTGGAGCTTAACTGGGGGCTAGATGACTGCATTGTCTGAGGTATTTAAAAAGATCACATCAGACCCATTCTGAATAGTAAGTGACAGTAGCCAGGGGGTTGTCAGGGACAGTGGCCAGCAGTTCTGCTCTTTGATTGCAGATGGCCATTCTGGGTTTGGTTAAATTGCCCAATGGCCACTGCTGGGGTCAGGAGTCTGGGATGGCTTCACTGTTGGGGGGGTCACACGGGCCTCTCCATCCACTTTTAGGGCTGGGCTGTCTTTGAGATGAGATGAGCCTTCTCTGTGAGCTAGTTGCCCAGGAAAGCCTCTTCTCCAGAGGCAAGATGGGGAGCCCTGAGCAGTGCAGGTTGGGCAGGGAAGGTGGCTTCTCTTTGTAGCAGAGGCTCTGCGGGGTTGTGCCACCAGTTAGTGGTCAGCGGTCAGGATAGCATCCTTGGTTGGGGAAGGGTGCCACATCAGAGAGGCAGTGCCTGTGTCCTGTACCTGCCTTCCATGGTCTTCACTTCTGCCCATGGCTGCTAGGGGTTGGGGGTTGGTCTCATCTCACTTACTTCAACATCTCTGCAAATTGTCTTTGCAGCACAGTTCTCTAAAAGCTGTTAAAAGGGCACCCATGGGAGACTCTACTAGCAAGGCTCCAGCCTCTACCATTCTTCCCTCAGAAGACTGTTCTGCCAGGCCAGTCAGAAAGGCCAGATAGACACCCACCAAAAGGGCCTAGCAAAGAGCTGAGGCATCCTGCAGCAATGGGTCTCTCCTGCTGTGAACTGACTCCTAAAAATACCACCCATGACACAACTCTTTGTCTGAAAAGCCTGGTCTTCACAGTAACCCTCTGGGCCCAAATCTACAGTAGAGAAAAACTGAATCTCAAAGAGCAAATGCCCTAGGACACACAGCTGGAGCTAGTGATGATGGAGCCCAGTCAGCCTGGGTACAGATCCTCCAGGGCTGGCCAAGGCCCCTCTTCACCCCGACCAACTGCCCATACTGATGAGTGTGTGTTGCTCATCCAGTGAGCACTACATCCAGATTTGACTATGTTATTGACTTTTACAAAACCACTACCCCTACTCATTCCGATCTGTTACAAATAAATAAATAAAGCCTACCTTTGTGTCCACTGGGCACAGCTAGCAGGGATAACCAGGTATCTTGTGAGCATGGTAAAAACTTTATGTGTCCTATGGGAGTTTCTCCCCTGTCTAGCTGATGAGCCCAAGTAACTCTCTGTCCTAGGCTCTGACCTCCATGACTTGGGTGCAGGTCCTCAGAAAATGGTAATAAATTTTTCCAAGCCATGGAACTGACTTGAAATGTGAAATTTCAGAAGTATAAGGTGATGCCAAAGCAGAGAAATAGGGCAAAACTTTAGCATATCAGGCTCAAGGGTGTCCCTGACTCACAACTAGTAGGCCCTGACTCACTGTTATCCACAGACTTCATCAGGGCCAACTCCTAGGTCCAATTCCCAGAAGACTTACTCACCTGAATCTCACATGCAGCCTGCAGGTGGAAGACCTTGTAAAATGCCTCCTCTACGGTATCACCTAGAGCAACCACTCCATGGTTTCTTAGCACCAGGATCTGTGGAGGAGGAAACAGCCAATTAAACCTCAAGCCTGTGAAAAGTACTTAAGAGAGAGATACTTTTTATTTTATTTAGATCAATTTCCATCTCAAGTCCCTCCCTCAAGCCCTTATTTATTCCTAATCAAATACCTCAATGTGTTTGACATGTGATTTTTAATCCAAGTCATCCACCCTAAGAAACTGAAGAGGCTTTTTAAAACTGAGACCATATAGCCTGATTGATTTCTTTGGGCAATACCTGGGTTTTTAGGCCTTGGAGAACTCCTAATTCTGAAAAATTGGTGTGAATGATATTATTTGATGTCTAATGCAAGGGTCAAACCTCAAACAAGCTCTTGCCCCTGTAACTTTACTAATTTGGGGGTCAAAACTCAGAGGGTAGTTCTCTGAGTAGTGGTTCTACAGAAACAGGTGAGTCACATCACCTCTGTTGATCTCCAATTTTTCCTCCATAAACTCAGAGAGGCCCCACCAGGTTCAAGATCATATGATTCTAGGAAAGAGGCTATAATGGCCTTCTAATCTAACTGCTCTTATAGATCAGGAAATAGAAATCTAACCAGAGGCCTGCCCTGGCTAATTAGGGGCAAAATCTGAACTAGAATCCAGGGCTTCTCACCACTGGTGCAATGATTCTGACCTTGACGGGGCCAGGTGAGTAAAGTGGGGGAAGGAGACCAAAATGAATTCATATCAATAGCTCAACTCCCAAAAGGCTAAATATCCCTTTCTGGAAACTTTCCTTGGATGGTTTTAGACTCAAGAACTCTCTGGAACCAGACAATGCCCATGTGGGATCTAAAACACAGATGCATGTGTCAGACCTGTTCTGGCACAGCCTACCTAGGCTGAGACCTTGTGGCTCTGAACACCACGTCCTCTCTTGCTACAAACAGCTGGAGATTTTTCCTTTAAAGAACCAGAGAAATGGGAAGAGACAATGACTCTGGCCCACAAAAGATACTAGAAACAACAAATACCCTCTCTTCTAACAATTAATAGCTGTGGGCACCACATCCCTCTCCCAGCATCACTAATGGCACTTTGGAGGATGGTGGGAGATTGGTGAGGCTCCTCACTCAAGTTAGAACTGGGGAGGTAGGGACTCAGACAGAAAGTGAGTTGCGCAGTGAGTGCCTTGCCAGGATGGCAGCAAGCGACCAACCCAGGCTTGGTTTTGAAACTCTCTCATACCACGCTGACCACCCCCACATATATGCTGTTACAAGGCTTAAACTTATGCCAAGCAATAATAAGGTCCCATTTTCTCTAGCAAGTTGGCAATAAAGAAGTGTGATAAAACTCAAGTTTGGGGAAACTGCAGGAAAATAGTATTCTCTGTATTAGATTTGAGAGGAAGAGGGAACAAAGAAATTTGTACTATTGAAATCACCTCAAGCACACACAGACTTGGTTGAAAAGATTCTTATCAGTGTTGTTTATATTAAGAGAAAAATCAGGGGCAGGAGGACCTGCTATGTCCGAACATGGAGGTCTATTCAGAAAAATGGTGGCACAGTTTCATATAATGAGACATAATTTAATAATTAAAAATAGTGAAGAAAAAATATTTAATGACATACAATGGTGTCTACTATATACTGCTAAGGGAACAGAAGAGCTTATTTTATGATCCCATTTATGTAAATATATGTGAACTCACTAGGGGTGTGTACCAAAATCTCTGAGTAGTGCGACAAGAGATTTTTCCTTTTCTTTCTTTCTGTTTTAAAAATTTATCTGCAACATTTAAACATTCTCCAAAGAATACATGTCACTTTTGTGACACTGGCTTCTGACAGTGCCACTCCAGAGCATCCTCCCAGAAGGGCTGAGCAAACCTTGCAGGTGGGTCCAAGGCACTTCTGCAGATTGATACGATCAGCTTCCTGCTCCATTTCCCCATTGAAGTCATAATAGGCCATGTCCCCCACCAGCAGGGCATTGTGGGAGACAGGCAGGAGCCCCCACTTCATGGCTGACACCTGTAGGGAGACAGTGGGATGGGTGGCACCTGCAACCTCCATCCTTCCAGCACATCTGCCCTTCCTGGGAACAGCACAAGCCAGCTCTGCTCTGAGGTCCATGGAGTTGGAAGAGGATGAGAAAAGCCTCGGCCTCCTTGCCTACTGCTCAGTCCTGCTTTCATGCTTTGGGCTCTAATATCTTTCTATCAGTTTTCATACCAGGGTACCAACTGTTAGAACCACTGGAGAGAATGTACTGAAGGAAGCCACTGCAGCCCTGTCCCTGCTTTTTTTTTATCTTGTGACTCTGAAGGGAGCCAGGTGTGGTGCAGTTTGTACCAGGCTTGGATGACCAGGGCCCAGGTCCCCTGGGATGGGTCACTGGAGACCCTCAGCCTTGGTTTTAGTGTAGAAATAACCATGTCTCCTTGCTAATAGAGAAGATCACTGGGAAACCCATTTATAGCCCTAGGGCAGAATGCTGGCCAGGGAATAAGGCTGTAACCCACAATCCCACCTCATTAAAGCAAGGAGCATGGGAAGGCTTAGCAGGGGACTTACCCTCCTCTTATTCTGCCCATGAGCCTGCAGAGACCCTGCTCAGCACAAACAAATCATTAAGTTGGTCCAAATTCTGGACTGAAGTTCTGAGCACTTACAACTGGTGTGCATCATTGAGAAAACAACAGCCTGATCAGATGTCTGCTCTGCAGGTGTGTGGTCTGGGGAGCAGGATTGGGTGAGGGTTAGGCAGTGCCTGAACTTGTCTACTGTTCTGCACAGTATCTTAAGTGCACATGGAGAAATGACCAGAGACCCTTGGGGGACAAACTGCACCTTGAGCTTCTTCCTTCAACCTTCCCCTAGTTTTACAAGCTCCTGTCCCCAGCTCTCGGCTACTCTAAGCTATAGAAAGTCAAGACAATCCAGTTTTCTGCCCACTTGATAACCTCTGTCAAGATTTCTCCTCCCAGGCTGGGCCTGGTGGTGCACACCTGTAATCTCAGCACTCGGGAGGCCGAGGCAGGAAGATCACCATCAGTTCAAGGCCAGCCTGGTTTACATAGCAAGACTCTGTCAAAAAAAAAAAAGATTTCTCCTCCCAAAGCCTGGGCTGTGTGGGGGCAGGTGCAGCCCCCAGCCCAAAAGATTCTACCTAAGTAGAAACTCAGAAGGCACGGTCCCCTGGGTGGTGTTCCAGCCTGTGTGTATAGCAGGGTGGAGGATGAAGTGAATAGATGTTCCACATCTTACCTTATATCAAAACTGTGGCATTTAGAAAGAAGATGGGGATTTCTACATTGGGAATTTCTCTCCTCACCTTGCCTGGGTTCTGGATCTTTCCAGACTGTTTTCAATGAGACTGCTACTGGGGGGAATCTTAGAGAAATGGGTCCTCTGGGTCTGGCTGCTATACTAGGAGCATTCATGGGGCCAGGAGGCACCCACTCACCGCTGCCGTGGCTGGTGTGTGCAAGTGGATGATGCACCGCACGTCGGGCCTGGCTGCATAGATGGCTGAGTGCAAACAGAAGCCCGTGGTATCCACCGGAAAGCAGCTGCTGCCCTTCTCCACCACCTCTCCCAGGATGTTCACCTTGATCTGGACCGGGGAAGAAGAGAGACTTACAGCAACAGGGCAAGCAAGGGCCCTCCCTCCTCTTTGGGCAGGTGGGCCCAGCACTCACCACCCATGTCCAGACCCCAGGATTGATTGCTAGGCTTGGTGTAGGGAACAATGTCCTGTATCCTGCCCTCAGTGAGTGTAGTCTTAAAGGTCACAGGTGATTATAATGCAGCAGGGGAAATGCTAGAGCAGAATTCCCAAACCTCGCTGTACACAAGAATCCCCTGGAGATCTTGTCAATCCAGATACTGGCTCATAGGAGAGGCTGAATTTCTAGCAACTCCCCAATTGATACCCATGATGTGGTCCACTTTGAGTAGCAAGGAACTATAAGAGTCATTCACAGAATTCTCTAGAAGCAGGGAGGAGAAGTCTTTAACCCAGCAGACTAAGAGGATCAGAACCCTTTCCAAAGGAAGTCATGTTTAAATTGAGCTTTTCCATTTTTTGAAAACTTATAAATCATAAAGAAAGATAAAGAGATTACAATATTCAACACCCATTTACCAATCACCCAGAAGCTAGGTCATAAAGGACAAGTGGAAGGAGATCATGGCTTTATAATCTGCTTATGGCTCCAAGAGCTAGTATGTGTCATGACTAAAAGAAAAATCACGCAATAATGTAAGTGTGTGTGTGTGCACACACACATGTTCAAGAGAGAACAAGAAATACAGCAAAATGATGGCTGGCATCTGGCCATGCATTCCCTACCGAATGTAAACAATTTCATAGAACAACAACATCAGAGAAGGTTACTATGACTGGCTGGGATACAGGAAGATAAATCATGTCTTAACACAGGCAACATCATTGTACAAGTGCAGAAATGAACAACAGCCCCCTCTTCTGGCTAACACGAGGGAGTGTTCCTGCTTTACCAATGACCGCTGAAGCCTCACCCCATGTCCTGGCCTCCTGGATAGAAACTGGTAAAATACATAATCTTAGAATTATTATTGCATTCTAATAGCAAACTCCGCAGCTGTGCCTCCTCTGAGACCCCAATCAGCTAACATAAAAACAATTCCCGAAACAAAGTCCTCCTGACATTCTTACTAAACACATGCCCTCATTCCCAATGTGCAATTTCCCTAAATATAATCTAACTCACAGACCACAGTTGTTCTCTGGACCTTAATAAGATAGATTATAGTTTCTAAAAATCACTACTTCAACTTTGGCTCTAAAAACTGAAGAACCAATAACATCCTGAATCCAGCACACAGAGCAGTTCCTTAAATTGCCCACCTCTGTCCATCCCAGAAGGCCCTAACAGACAAAATGGGGACCAAAGGAAGGAGGTAGACCCTGTGTGGGGTAAGGGACATGCTACTTACATCATGTGCTTATCCAGAAGCATCCATAAGATGTAAAACAAATTCCCTCTTGAGCAATTCTACTGTAAGTGAATTTTACAAAATGAACATGACTTCATAGTGACTTAACCCCTGAAACTGGCAGCAATTCTCCTGTCTCGGGCCCCTGAATGTTCAGTGGTGGCCTTTGGTTTCCCTTCAGCTCAGCTCCTCACTTCCTCAGATGTGTGTCCTGTCAGAATTCCTCTCTGGGATGATCCCTCTCTAATCTCATATATTCCTTATCTCATTCTTGGATATGTGATCTGTTGTCACTCAAGAATCTTCACAGCCTTACGTAATACCACCAATCCATATGGTCCCTTTGTACAAATAAGAAAACAAGTACTCTCTCTGAGGACAGGCCCAGGGACACAGAATGTTGTCACTACAAATTTAAAAAAAAAAACCCAGCTGCCAGGACGTACAGTACTTAGTGAATGGAGTACAGGTTAGATTTTACCCTCTCCTTTCTTTCTCATCAGCCAGGCTCCTTTGTACAGTGCACAACCTGTTCTGCACAGTAGAACTCAGTCTACACATATTTTCTGAACATCTCATGCCCATGACTCTCAGAGCTGTATTTTGAAGCTACATCTCTTCCAAACTTCCAAACCACAAATTCAACTGACTTCCTCTTGAATGTCCAACAAGCTCCTTAACCTCAGTCCCAATTACCAACCCACTTGATCACCAGGCCCAGTGAACATGCAGGAGTAATTTTTTTCTCAGCTTAGTGTAAATGCACTAAACAGTTGTTCTGATGTCATTTGGCATCCACACCCCATCGTAGTGATCTTTGCACAGTGGTAACCTGATCTCCTCATTCTCCTGCTTATAATACTTCAGTGGCTGTATGTCCAACAGAATAAAGTAAAAAATGCTGTAATACCCCCTTTGTCACTTACGTTCTCTGGACTAGTATCCTTTCCTGCCTATTAAGGGGCTTTGGCCATCCTTGAAGTCCTGCCCTGCTCAGATATTCTGCAGCTTTGTCACCCTGGACTCTGGCCTTGAGACCTTGGACTCTATACTTGAGCACATCCCTAGCCTGGCAGCGGCCCCTGGGGCGGTGTCCTCCTCTTCCAGGTACATGGCACAGCACAGCAGCCACAGCCCGTGCAACTGAGAAGGACTGGGGCCTTTCTGCTTCTAAGATGGTTGTTTCTACTGCCTTCTCCCTCTCACCCAGAAATCTTTTCTGATCTGCACCACTTTCTAGAAGTCTCCTCCTACCCCACCTAAAAGGAGCAGCACTGAGAGGGACCTAGAAGCAATCTCTAATGCCCCAGTACCAGACAAATCTTGCAGTGCTTTGGTTCTTGTTCTAATGTATCTCCCATCCAAGAGGACCCCAACTTTCACCTTCATGATGTGGGCCCAGGCTTAGCCATCTGGGCCTGTCTCCTCTCCTCACTCCTTCCTGTTGTGCTTGCTGCCTGCACCTTGCATTTGATCTCTTGGTCACATTGTTCTCTGGGAGTTTGGTTTGTTCCAAGTGTCTTCTCTGCCCCACTAGATTGTGAACTGCACAAGGGACAGGACAACAGTGGCTAATTTGGAGATGACCTGTCACTGTAGGAGCAGAGGAAGTTCTGCTATCTCAATAAGGAGTGGGCAGTGAGATAGCAGGTAATACTCACCAGGCTGGATGCGGTGACTTCATTGCAGGAAACTCCCTTAGGGCTTATCAGGAAGTGGTCCTGTTCCTTGCTGACTCTCAACTGGAAGAAAGACACACATTCTCAGACACAAATAGGGAGAAGGAACACTATATTTGAATCTTTTCTTCTCTTGAATTTACTGTGCCCAAATCTTTCTCCAGTGACTCCTTCTCCCTCCCCCTACCATTAAGAGATGAGGAGAATTTGACCTTTATTTGGAGCTGGGGAAATGGTGCTACAAGAGGAATCTTGAAATCTTCAAGAAAAGCCCTAGATACAGGATCCAGGAGTCCCTGCTCCCCATCCAAAGAAGAATCCACTGGGTGGAGTTTTGAAATAGTTCAGTGCATTTTGGCCAAAGGCCATCAACAGTGCCAAGGTCATACCAAGGGTCAGGAGTTCTCCCTCTGGATTTGGTGCTCTCCTCACCGTGACATAGGTGTCGCTCAACTGGGCCCAGCCATAGAGGTCCAAGAGTCGGTAGACACTGCTGATCTTGCACCGCATGAGCCGCTCCCCTTTGGCCAGGTTCAGGGAGTCAGCGGTGTGGAGGTCATTGATCGGTGTCATCAGGGAGAAGTCTGCAGAGCACAGCCCCAGGGACAGTGCTGCTCACTCAGGGTCGGTAACTTTCATCAGCCACCACCCCCCCAGCCTCTCCAAAGTCTCCCTGGCACTATAACTGCGTGAGAAGCACTGCCAGGCAGGGGATTCAAGACTCTTTCACCCTTATCCAGTGGAGAAAGTCCATAGAATAGATATTTGTGCTCAATGAAGTTTTCAGCTAAGTTGAGTAAGGATGGCATTGCTTTTGGTCAAAAATCATGGCAAGACTCAAGTTCACAGAATAAAGAGTTCATGGAATGCTAAGATTACCATAAGCCCTAAAGATGGGTATTGAGTAAAAGCAGTAATAAATTTCTGAGTGAAAATATAGGTATATTTCATTAGTTCTATTAAGGAAGTTACTAATTGTGAGACCTGCCATTATCAGGTTGTTTTAACTATTCCATGCAATAAAATTTTTCTATGATTTGGAAAGAGGGCAAATAGAAAGGCAAGTCAGCCAGGAAGTACATCTGTCAAATTCTCCTGAGTTATTTTTAGGAATCATAAACTCCTGTAGTCAGGATTGGCTGAAGGTCCTGAGGCTTCTAGCAGGGCATGTCTGCTCCTCTTTGGGCATGCAGTCCCTTAGTTATGTGATGGTTCTTTTAGGAAATTTTTGAAGAAGGTGGAAAGAACTTGGAAATAGGCCTACAACTTTTGATAGTCTTATCATCAGGACACCCAAAAGATCTAGGATTTGATGTCCTGTCCATTCCATTAACATTATGACCAGGCCTTGAGAAGGGAGAAGAAGGCATTTGAGACCCCCACCCCCACAGTCAGATTAATCAGTGTCTAGGACCCAATAAAAAAATCAGTAAGAAAGGATTCTAGCTTAAAATGATATCTGGCTGAGAGCCTCTTGATGCTGCCTCTCCCAGCTCCCCACTAAAAACTTTAATGGATTAAAAGGTTCTTTGGAAGTGTTTGCCATCTCTATAAACCTCTCTGCTGTACAATGTGATGCATGTGCTGCATCAGATTTGTTGTTAGTTGAAATGATGAGATGGTCTGAAAATGTGAGGGTGGATTACATAGTGTTAGGCCGTATCCAGCAAGCACAAAGCATGCCCTGGATACCCCCTGTCAGGAAAATGTAGCAAAAAAGGAGGGTATATCAAAAGTACTGGCTCTAGGCGAGGCCAGGCAGGTGAGACTGGTGTTTGGAGGGTCTTTGGACTCAGAGTTATTTGAATTCATCTCTTACAACTCTGGCACTCCAGAGATGGCCAAGAGGCCGGAACAGATCTTAAAATATTTATTCCATCACATCCTCTGTAACAGTCTCAAACAGTCTCAGAGAGAGTCTCCCTGCCCTATCCTGTGGAGCTTTAACTACAAGAATTACCTCACCCACAGGACTTAGGGGTAAGAGACAAGAAGAGGAGGACTCTACAGCAGTTTCCAATTCTCCTCTCTCAGGACCTTAATGTAAAAGATACTTATTCTGGCCAGCTTCATGAAAGTTAGGATGGCTGATGCCACTCATGGGAAGCAGATCTAACTGGGCCATTTATTCAGTGTCCTAAGAAAACACAGAAAAAGATGAAAATTTAACCAACTCTCCTTAAAGTTTATATTGAAGAGTACCTTAATGCCAACCCACCCTCTCCTCATCCTCAAATTCTAAGGCAAATGGAGCTAGAGAGAGAACACTCAATCTGGGCTTGAATGACACTGGGAACTCCCCTTCTCCACATCCCTCACCTTTGATAATGTGGACATGTATTCATCAGATTTTTTTAGGTACTTATCACCTTCCCTGGCAGATGCTGATTAGTGAAGCAATGAGAATGCTGGTTAGCCTATGTGTCCATCAAAAATAAGAGTATAAGGATAGAGACATGAAAACAATGATGGAGAATATGAGGGATATGGGAGACAAACACCAGAGAGCCAGAATAGAGACAATCCGTATTGCCATAATAGAAGACAATTTTTCTGAACTGAAATAAAGACCTGTGTATACAACTTTAAAGGACTTATTACATTCTAGGGCAAAGAAAGTCCATAAAAATTATATGCTTCCAGAGCCTGGAGGAGGCTTCTGGGTAGGTGTGCCACAGCTCCCAGCACAGAGGAGGTGAGCAGTGCGGGCGCGCTTCCAAATAACATTTCTGAAATATAAGGTTAGGAGAAAAATCCATAAGCATCTAGAAAAAAATTTGGTTACCAACAAAGGAACAAAAATAGCTTGTCTCAGATTTCTCTGTTACAGACAAAAAGAAAAAGCAGAAACCACTGAAGTACCATAAAACAGGTAAAAAATAAAAGGAAGATCAAAAGTACACCAGACAAATAAAAACAAATAATAAAAAGGTAATATTATTATCAAAGTAGAGTTGTGCAAAACAATATACTCTTGGACAAAGAGAGTCACTTAAAAAGTCATTTTAGGGGCCAGGGATTTAGCTCAGTGGTTTCACCACCTGCCGTGCAAGGACAAGGACCTGAGTTCGATCCCTGGTACCAAAAAAAAAAAGTCATTTTATATGGATTAAAAGTACAGCCTATAATGAAATTATACCTATAATGAACATTTATGCTTTGGATAATACTTCATCAGGATATGTAAAGCAAAAACCAAGATACAAAGAGAAATGAACAGAAGGCAAACACAGTGTAAGACAACATAACTTTCATTTTTGAAAACATCAAATAAAAATGGAAATACAGATTAAATAGTATGCCCTAGAGATTGTCTATAACCATATATAATTTAAAGATAACATTATTTGGCCCCAAACAGACCTCAAAAAAATCCCTAAAACAGAAATCAAATAGGACATGTTTTCTAAACACAATGCAATAATGTCTGATATTATTAACAAATCCTTAAAAAGAATATGTTTTCAACCACTCTGAAATGAGAAAATACACTCCCTGGCAGGTCTTAAAAAATAAAAATAAAGTAGGCTTGGGGTGTAACTCAGTGGCATTCCAAACCTATACTCAGAAAAAATTCAGAGCCTTAAATGTCTTTATCATTGAATTAAATATGAAAATAAATCAAATTTAATTTATTCTAGTCTAGAAAAAATATAAAAAACACATCAAACCAAAGAAAAGTTATGGGGAAAAAAGAATAAATATAAAAACAAAATTAACAAATTAGAAATCAGGAAAAATAGTGTAACTATTAAGTAAACCCAATAATTTGCATATATGAGAAGATCTCTGAATAAGCAAACATGAATACATCAGTAAAGAGAAAAGGGAAATACACAGAAGCAGGAATAAGAATGGGACATTATCTCATGCACAGCACAAATTTTAAATGAAGAAAACATAGTAAGTCACTTTAATAATTTTGAAAAATAAAATGAATTATTTCATACAAAATATATGAGCATAATTTACTGAAGAAGCAGCAAAATAATTTTTAAAAAACTCTAAATGAAACTAAAGAGAAAATGTCAAAGATCTCTAATAATGTTCCAGATCTAGACAGTTTTGCAAGTGAGTAATACATCTTCAAGAAAGGGACTTTCTATCTTACTTAAACTCCATGAGGGCAAAAAGGAAGGTAGGATTACCCTAAGTCATATTATGAAATTATAGCCTTAATATCAGTACTAGATGAAGACTACTCCAAATCTGAACTGCTGGCCAACCACAAAGGTGAATATGGACTCCAAAATCCATATTAACATTCCACCAAATCAAATCTAGAAGAGCATCTTTAAAAGAATGTGTCAAGACCAGAAATTATTTATTTCAGACATAAAAAAAAGAGTTCAATATTCAGAGTTCTATTACTCTAACTCATCACAATTGTTCAAGGAAAGAAAAATCAATAATGCCCAAAATGCATTTTATAACATTTAAAGTCCATTTTCGAGAAAGACTTATAATGAACTACAATAAAAAGATATTTCCTCAACATGATAAAAAATAATTACCTCAAAGTCTGTGGTAAAAGAATTTCCATTAAAGTCAGAAACAAGACAAGGATGATTACTCTCTAATATATTATTAAACATTGTTCTGAAAGTACTAATGGGTGAAATGAGAAAACTGAAAGAAATCAAAAGGCAAATGTTGGAATGATGGAGGCAAAATTACCCTTATTTGCAGATTATATGATTTTCTATATATAAAAATCTGAGGAAATTTATATAAATTTATATGTAAATCCAGAAAGAAAACTGAATGGAAAAAGACTTATTTAAAATAACAAAGTTACATAAGGTTTTCTAGATAAACTTAAGACAGTAGTGACTACATAAAAATCACTTTTCTAATGGGCATCAAAGAAGACTTAAACATCCCTAATTTCTGAAAATATTTAAAATTCATTCGTGCAAATATTTTTAAAGTACTTCCCATGTGTTAGACACTATTTTAAGTCCAGGACACTATTCTAGAAAACAGTTTTCTAACATATAAATTTCCCCCATGGAGCTTATATTCTAATATGATTATAAATCTATACATTCTCCACTAAATCATTCTCTTCATTTAATGCAACCCCAATCAAACTCCCCCCAAAAAATGTGTAAAGGCAGATGCAGGCAGAGCTTGACAAATAATTCTAAAATTATTTTAAAGAATAAATTTGTACAAACATTTAAGAATAGACAAATAAGTAATTAATCATATCTGTTCCATCAGATAATGAAACATGGGGAAGTTGCCTCTGAGCATGCAGTCAAAAGCAGAAACCACACAAAAAAATAATGGATTCAACTACATGGAAATGAAAGATTCTACAAGGCAAAAAGGAAAAAAAAGCACACTATGACACAATTAGACAGCAAAGGAAAAATTAGAAAAATAACTGCAACATAATGGAAATATAATAGGGAAATAGTGTTAAATTTGAAAATCTATAAGAAAAAATATAATAACAGGAAAATTGGCAAAGGATGTGAACAGGCAATTTACTACATAAGAAAATCATGTCCAATATGTACATAAGCATGTGTAATATATCCAATCTCATTAGTAATAAAATGAACACACATTAAAACACAACTAACTAATAAAAAATTAAAAAGTAAAAAAAAAAACCCTCTATTTATAACCTGGCAAGTCAGGAGGATAAAACATTGTAGTATATACTACAGATCAGGGTAGAGAAATGGGTACTCTATCAGAATGCTGGGAATGTAAACTGATTCCATTTTTCTTTCTCTACAATGGAGAAAGAATGGAATTTGCCATTATGCATTAAAGTCTTTTAAATATGATCCAGCAGTTCTACTCTTTGTAATTTATCTTAAGAAAACAATCATGGATAAAGTCACAGATTTATTTAACAGGATGCTTACTGCACTATTAGCAAAAAGCTGATAACAATCTAAAAGTCCAATAATGAGAAACTGATTAAATAGTATTTATCCACTAAAAACTAAATTGCAGAATCATTTTCTATGATGTGAAAAATTAGCTAATATATGTTATTAAAGTTATATGTATAATGTAATTATGTTATTTTTGTATAATCTGTATACATTAAGAGAAAAAAATTGAAAGACTATAACCAAAATATTGATAATAATAATTTCCAGTTTCATGAAGACAGGGCAATGATTTTTGCTTCCTTTTCCTGATTATTTTTCTAGTTTTCAACCATCATCTTGTATCAATCATGTTGAAGGACAGCTTTTTTGACATTTGTTTTAAAGCATCTATTGGGGGCAGAGCTTTACAGCCCAAAAAAGTAGATTCGTGAATAGCCCAGGATCTTCCTGGTGATCATCTATGGAGCCAGGCTGACCTGTTTAGTGGGACATGGAGATACTGGTTTCGATGGCCTCTTTTCATCCCCTGAAGTCATCTCTACCCCTCCCATTCTTGGCATCATGGATAATTCTTTTGTGGGTCTTTAATTGGCAGGAACATCAAAAGCAGAGCCAGGCATCTCCCTGGCTTCTGCTGAGTTCCCCCGGGCCTGCTAATGAAACTGCTCGCTTGTACTGTCACCTGGCAACCAGCTTCTTGCTGCTCCTTACTCTCCTCCTCACCCACCCCTCCTCCTCAGTTCCTGGCAGCTCTCCAGACACCCACTTACTCATGGAAGATGTTGGGAAGACTGCGTGGGAGGTGCTGGCCATGAAGTCCGCAATCTGCCGCAAGGCCCAGATGTTGGAGGAGTTGTTCCCTTTCTTCATCTGCTCTTGGATAAGGCCTTCCAGCTCCTCCCTGAAAGACTGAAGCAGGCCCAGAGATGCTGGTCCCCCCAGAGCATCTCACACAGGAAACTGAGGGACCCACAGCTGCTGAATGATGAGCTCTTCCAATTGGGTGCCCACTCCCAGACTTGGGTCAGCTAGGCCAGGCTATACTTGGGATTCCTGGGCCCCAGAGGCAATTCACCTAGGACCTTAGGAGCCTCCCCAGATTGCTGTGTGGATAGCAAAGAGGTGATGCTGGGAATGGATCCTGTGTTTCCTTTGCCCTGTGGGTAGTAATCTAGATTCCAGGTCCTTCCTGCATCCACATGATGGCCAAGACATTCCTCCACCCCCACTCCATCAGACTTAGCAGAACTTCACTTTAGTAATTAAGGGCATTTTTAAAATCAAAACTGAATGAGAAAGTGTGCCACCTTCCCTCTCCATTAGCATGCCTATGGCTCTTCTGGGCTTCAATTTCCTCTTATGCTTAATAAAGGGGTAGGAGGAAGGGCAGAAGGATTTGATGACTCCTGAGGTGGCTTCCACTTCCGATGCCCTCTCTAAGCCTAGCTTTTCAGAGCACCAGGGCACAAACTGGGCATCTTGTCCACCAGGTGGCAGCAGGAAACACTTGAAGGAAACAGGGAGCTACTTAATCCTATAAAAGGGACAGAAGAAGCAGGATTCTTACAGTCCCCACCTCCTGCCTGGAGCCCTTAAACCTAGGCTGGTGCTGTCTAACCCGGCCACCTTTTCCAGTCACACTCTGGGGATCTTCCTAAAGACTCCTCATCCCAATGCTTTTAGCACCTGCTATTTACCTCTAGACTCCCCTCGAAATGCCAAGACCTCAGGCTCACTCCCTCTGTGCTCCTCTGTGGGGCCTGACCATTCACTGTGCTCTCTGCCAGGGTGGTACACAGCCCACATTGGTGCCCTGCCTCCCTGAAGCGGAGCAGAGCAAGCTGGGGCGTGTGTGGGTGTGTGTGACCACAAGACAGGCAGAACAGGCTCAGGGTCCTAACCCTATCCTGCTAAGTACTGGAAGATGCCTGCTCCATCCCTAGATTCCCAACCCTTAGCATCGCGTGCTGTTCCCAAAGAAGCCCGAAGCTCTACACCCCAGAGCTCCCTTGTTCCTGCATACTGCTCTTTCTCCCCACCCAAGCGCCCACAGCACCTCCTACTTCAGGGATTCATCAGACCATCCTGTCCTTTTCGATGCACTGCCAGCCTCCAGAGTGCAGTAAGCAGCCATGCTAGGCAGGCACTGCTGACCTCGTCTGGAGAGTGCTGGATGATCCCAACTTGGCCTTGCTTCCTGCACTCCTGTTCCATAATCCCTGCCCTCTTGAGTCCTCCACTCTCCCCACCTGCTGGGCCTTCTAGGCCCTCCTCACCCTGCCCCATGCATGAGAGCCTCATTTGTGCCACAGTGAGTTACTCACTGTGATGTTCAGTAAAGGGGGCCCCCAAGTCTTTTCTGTGGTGCCCTCTGCTGTGGCAAAGCAAAGAAGACTAGAAGCTGAGAATCTGAGGGGTAAAGGGTCTTCGGTCCGTCTCCCTCTTTCTGAGCCAAGCTATCTGCATACACCCAACTTTTGCCCTGCACTAGTGACCAGAAAGACAGACACCACGTGGCAGACCAGTGTTGCTCAGCAGGCCTAAACTGCTCCACCCTAAGAAGAAGAGCAACGGGTCTTCCTGGTCCCCGGAGAAGCCCGCCTCTGGCTCCTCCTCTCCCTCCTCCTCCTGTCCCAGGCCCTTTAGCTGGATCGGACCCACTCACAGGGCTCTGCAGAATCATGGTGACCCGCTTCTTCTGCTCCATCAGGTTAAAGTCCTGGCGCAGGTCGGCCGCCCGGTTGCGAAGGCGCAGGTACTCCGGGTCGTCCTCAGAGAAGCGGTCAAAGTAGGGCTGCCCCTGCGGGGGCGGTGGGGAGGCGGCATCGGGGACGGTCTCTTCACTCATTCTCCTGCTGGGGCTCTGATCAGCTCCTGGAACCCTGCAGGGGAGGGACAAGGTGGGTGGCAGATTGGCTCCCGAAGGCGGGCACGCGATTCCTAAGGGTGAAGGTTGGGGTGGGTTGGATTCCCCGAAGGCTGTGGCTATTCCAGCAGGGTGTGTAAGCAGAGCAGTGGCCACACTGCCAGCCGCGGGACGCGGCCCCTGTGTCGACGGACAGGGGGCGCTGTGATGCATCAGGCCGAGTGAAAATACCGGCCAGGCTTAACAGGTCACGCTGGAGTTGAAGTGGAGAGTCTCCCGGTGGAAGGACGATTTGCAACACTCTTTGAGCATTTCTGCGACCCATACTTGCATATCGTAAGGTATTTAGAGGGGATCAGTATTTCATCTAAGTGGTCGGTGGAGTAAGTCACTTTCTTAGCATGCCCAAGGACCTGGGTTATATTCCCAGCATGGCTGCGTAAGTGTAAATATATACATAAATGTAAACCCTCTTGTAAGCATCCTCAAAAAATATGGTGGGGAAAGTCAAACAAGCACCTCTACTAAGACTTGGGAAACACTTTGCTCAGTGCTCTGGCCCCTGGAAAGAAACCATTGGTGAATCTGTTTTTGTAAAAATATGGCTTAATGCAGAAGCAAATTCTTACCAAGTTTAAAAAGAGGTATGCAATTTGTATTAAAGAAAAATGTATTTTTCCCAAACCCCACTAAATGTCTACTGAGAAACTAAGAATAAATATTTTGAAGGGAGGCATGCTGTGTCCAGGTGCCCAGAGTCCCACGTAATGAGGCCCAAGCCCTGCAGTGAAGACCATCAAGCCACATCTGTTTTCTACTCAAGCATGCTTGTTTAAATGCATAAATGAAGACCAAGACAGTATCTAGTGTTGCTATATTGGAGCTCTTCTGAGGAGTCAGGCTACAATTTCAGCCTTCACCTCCTGGCTGTGGGGCTTTGGCTAAGCCAGCTTCCATGTGTCAGCTCTGCTAGCCCTTAAGTCTGTGTCATGCACCTTTACCACCTTTTGCTTTATCTTTGCCTGCTGGCTGATTCCCTTCCCAGCAAAAGAAGCTATAACCTTGAGTGCACCATAATTAGCTTTTGAACATAAGGAGAAAGGAGACTATTAAAGGGGCTTGGGACTCCAGGCTCTCACTTATACTCTGCCACCCCTTTGTTCCCCGGGCTGCATTGTGTGAGGAGAGGGAGTACCATCTTGTTCTCTGAGTGTGCCTGACCTCCCAGGTCTTGATCTGCATTGGACCTTTGGCTGACCAGTCCCTGACCCACTCTGGCCTTGCTTCAGCAGTCCCATGTGCCTCAGCCTTAACCTTCATCCCAGCCAGCAGCTCATTACAAAGGAGTCCTTGCTGATAACCAACAGGTCACATTCTCCTTGTCCCTGAGCTGCCTGTGATCTCTTCTTCCATCCCGTCAGGGCTCTACCCTCTACCCTTACAGTTTCTGGGTGGTGTGAGTAGAGGATAATGCCATGGATAAGCCCAGAGAAGACAAGTGGGAATCCATCCTATCAGCCTACAATACCCAACTGGCTTGTTGTGGTTGCTGTTTCCAGGATTCCTTTCAGGAAAATGTGAATAACAAGTTCAAGAGAAGGCACATGGACAGAGTCCCTCAAGGGTTGCATGATGGCCTGAACCTATGCCAAGAGCACTGCTTCTCAACCTTAGTTACACATTGCAATCACCAGGGGAACTTTAAACTGTTGATGCTAGAGATTCTAATATAATTAGTGTAGAGAGTGACCTGGACATGAGGAGTTTTTAAAACTCCCTGGGTGATTCTAAAGAGCAACCAGGGTTGAAATAGTATAGGCTATATGTTAATGGTTATAACATGTAATATAACTCCCATTCCAGGTTATGGCCATTTTTAGCAAGCCAAACAAAGATGGCATGAAACCACATGTTTCTAAACTCATATCATGCCAATTCTCATATCTGTCCAGGCCCACTCAAACCATCACCTGCCATGGTATATTTGGTCTGGGCTCCATATGCCACCATGCCCTAATTCTGCAAGGCGGGCAAACTGTAGCCTCTGTTCTTGGTTCTTTCACTAACCTGCCATCTCCTTATAAAAGCCCTTAGCAGATCTCCCCCAACCAGCACCACCCTTATCAGTCATGTTGATGAGATATTTGGCAACAAGAGACAGGGGTAAGTGACTAGGGTAGGGGAAGGAGTCTGCTGGGAGAGGTGGCCCTCAAAAATATCCTCTAGAGAAGATTTTAAAGTAGAGTCGGTGGGTTGATACAGCAACTGCAGATTGCACTTACAAACTTTAAATCCAGACTCTTTTCATTCATCTAAATGGAGAAAGAGTGAATAGATCTGTCAGGAATGTTTCTGGTGGAATTTGCTTGGACTAGAAGAAATCAGAGGCCTGAAATCTTGCCTCAATTCTGTACTTGATACCTGCATGAGCTTGGGCGAGTCATTTCCCTTCTCTGGGTCTCACTTTGTACATCACTAAGGACAAAAAGGGAGGGAGTGACAAAAAGGACTTCTGGGGCTCCCTTTCAGCTCTGACACCAAATGGTTCTCCCAAGCTGGAGACAGATTCATGTAGAAAAGGCAGAAGGGTGAAGGACCTGGGTCTCCCAGAGCAAGGACCTCCTTGCTTCCCCTGAGGCCTGTTCCTCAAGCCAAGTGCTAAAAGAGAAACACCTGCAAAGAACATATACAAGCACCTGACAGCAGCCTGTAGCTTCAAGTCAATCCTGTGAGCCTGGAATCAGTTAAGAATACTTCGCCTCCATCATGCTCCTATCCAGCCTCATCTCTGGACCTGGAGAGTAAGAAGGGACTCCAAGGTCAAATAGAAGAGGACTGTACCACGGCCATGTAGACGTGTGGTTACCACCTGGATTTTCCTGGCAGGCAGAGCTGCAGACCAAAATCCTTCCACTGCATCAACCCCGCTCAACCCCACCACTGCTTATCAGTGACTCATCATGGCAAATAATTCCTTCTGGCACTTCCAAAGCCCTGAACCTTCGATATTATTTTTAAAATAGCAACAAGCAACCTCCTGATGAATACACTGGATGGGATCGTGGAGATGTAAGATCCCTGTGTTCTCTCCAGGCCCACCAGCTGCCCAACTCTCAGCTTCTCTGGAACAGGGATTGTTCTGGCCAGCACAGCCTGGTACTGAGCCTTCCTAGCCTCATTTCTTTCAATCCAGGCAGGAAAAGGTGGAGCTCTTCCCTTCGCTGCGGAGTGGCTGCACTTCCCAGGAATGGGGATGTGAAGGCTGTGAAGCAGCTCATCCCTTCCTGAAGCATGAGGAACAAGACGTCCTGAGCCTGAGGGAGAGGAGCCTATGGTACCATGTCTCTGGCCCCCTGCCCTGCTTAGCTTCTAACCCCAGAGGGCTGTTCCCAAGGTGTTCCTGTGGGGATGATGTAAGGTGGGGACATTGACTCCATCATCATTACAACAGGGGCCCTGACAGACCCTTTGGCTTTGTGAACCAGAGGCATTCTTTTGTGATCCTTCCTTTCCTCCCCATAATGCTGTACAAATGATCAAAGTTACAAAAGAAAGGGACAGACTGTGGAACAAGAACTACCTGGGTTCAAATCTCAGCTATGCCTATCATTAGCTGTGTGATCTTGGGCTGGTTAACCTAACTTTTCCTCAGCTTCCCCATATATTACATAGGGGTGATAATTTAACTGCTTCAAAAGGTCGCTGTAAGAACTATCAGTTAATGTATGTGAAGTACTTAAAACAAGACCTGGTGTAAAGCAAGCGCTATTAACTCTTTTGGTCCTAGTAGGTGTCATTTAGGGGACAGAATCGTTTTAGCATTAGGAACTTGAGTAATGTGAGGCTTGTGAGTCAGTGGTAAACAGGTGCACACTAAATTACTGTAATTATGTAGTTTAGGCCAAAAAACTAATTCAGTCATGAGCTATACTAATAAAAGAAGAACTAGGAAAAGACTGATGAGAATGCCTAGTTTTCTAATAATGGGACTATGTCAACGTGGAGATGACAAGAAAGAGGCTACACAGGATGAGGAAGATCAAAGACCAGTGTCTGTTCAGCCAGGTGTGATGGGAAAGAAAGAATTAACTGGTCTTTATCCCCTTTCCTGGCACAGAGCTTTAAAGACTCTTAGGATCTTTCCAGTGTCCAAAGGATAGAAGAATATCTTTTGTTATTCATAATAAGCCCCTTTCAACCTAACCCGAGTTTATGCTAATAAGGTGACTCAGAGTGGGCCCCAAGATAGTTTTAAGGGAGGATCTGGTCAGAAAGACCAAGTGCATGATTAGAAAGTTGGAGCGTCCCTCCAAAGAGGGAGAGGGGCTACAGGCTGAATTCAATTAAAGGGCAAATGATTTAATCAACTGTGCTTTTGATAAAATAAGCCCCCTGACTTAGAAAAGCAAAAATCAAAAACTCTCAACACTCAAGCTTTGGGGAGTTTCCTGGTTGTGAACACATTGAGATTGGGAGAGTAATGAACCCAGATTCCATGAGGAGAGGGCATGGAACTCTTTGTGTTCCCACTCCCACCCAGACCCTGCCCAAGGAGACTCTTGCATTTACTGCTTCTGACTTAGATTATTATAGTAAAACTATGATTGCAAGTACAGCAATTCTAGTATCTTCTCCAGGCCATTTTAATGAATCGTGGAACCTGAAAAGGAGTCGTAGGAATCCCCAAACTTAAGCCAAGTTAGGCAGAAGTCCAGGTCGTCTGAGGATCCACTTGTGGCTGATGTCTGAAGTGGGAGCAGTCTTGTTGGTGATCTTGTCCTTTAACTAGTGGTAGTTAATTTGTAGCCCATTTAACTCAGACATGCAGTTGTTCAATTGAATTGAATTGTTAGACAACCAGTTGGTGACAGAGAATTGGTGACAGACTAGCATCCACCAACTTGTATTCATGAATTATTTTCACTCCCAGGACCACTCTGTGAGGCGGATATTATTGTCCAAGTTTTTCACATAAAGAAACTGAATCTCAGAGAAGTTAACTAACTTGCCCCAAGGTCACACATCCAACAATGAATTCACTCAGAACTATCTCTGGCCCCAGATCTTCACCTTTCCACTCCATTACATTGTCCCTAAACATCAGTTGGGCTGTCTTGTGGGAGAGGGGATTGGCTGATTCCCTCGAGTCTCAGGGACCAGAATTAGGAAGCCAGGTGATTGCTACAGACAGGCAGATTTTCCTGAGAGCGTAAAGAACATTCTGATAGCAGGAGCAGCCCAGTAGCAGGAAGATGGGACAGCTGCCTTGTCAAGCAGTGAGCTCTCTCCTGGTGTCACAGTGCTTTCTTGATGCTGCAGAGGGGCTTCTGCCCTTGTTGGGGATGGAACAGGGGTGGGGGGGGGGGTTGGTGCAACTAGCAACTAGGAGCTCCAAGGTCCAGAAAATTCTCTTGCAGCTCTTGAGTGAGCAAAATGAAGGGAAGTTCAGGACAATGACCTGAGCGTCTGGAAGCTCATCCTCATTGGATGGGCCCACTGCAAAGTATGCCTCACCCCCCATCACCTCTAAAAGCCGAAACTACTTACCCAAAGGCTACCCCAGGCTTGTTGAAGGCTCTGTCCTCTCAGCACTGGGTCTACAACCTGTGCTCCACACTCAAGGGTGCCAGCTGCATCTACACAACCTCAGCCATCCAGGTGGAAACTGGGAAATGAAACACAAGCACAGCAAACATCAGGGTGCTGTCTGTCGAACTACGACCCTTCTCAACCTGACTTATTTCGCAAACTGTTGGGACACACTTAAAAGTGAACTTCAAGTGATTTTTTTAAATTTTAAAAAACAATTTATATCTATAAAAAAGAAAAGAAAGTATTTTTATCTTCACAATTGGGATCAAAATTCCCTTTCAATAAGGAACTGGTAGAGCCCTCTGCTGAATGCTGGCTGGTGAGGCCTCAGAGGAAGAAGGCTGCTCTGTGTGGTGGAAGGAGCAGAATGTGGAATTCCTGCCAGAGCCCAGGGATAAGACCACTTCCTGGGACCCCTCCCCAAAACACTTCACTGCCCTACAAAACTTACAGCCAGTGCAGCCCCAAAGGCAGAAATAGCCTGAAAAATATCACACCCTATGCAAATTGGAAAACCTCAGATTTACACAGGGCATGAATTAGTGAATTCAAAACAACTTCACCTAGAATTCAAGGGAAGAAAGCCCCCCAGTTAATGCCGGGGTAAAAAGTCATAGAGTACTCCTGAAGAAGGAATGTAATGTTAGTATCTTACAAACATGGGCAATTTACCTCTAAAAATCATGGTCGGTGAGATCTACAAAAGATTAATCACTGAAGTGTATAAGCACACATACAAGAGTGATAGTCTTCCAGAGGTGTGGGGGCTGTCTCACCAGGACTGGCAGCCTTCCTGACTGTCCCCTTGCCCCCTGACATAGTTTGTCTCCATCCCTGAGTTGATACTGTCCCTAATGGAACCATCCAGGGAGAATTGTCCCACTCAGGAGGGACAAGAAGAGTGGGCTTAGAAGGTATGATTTACCTGGGAGAGTTCTGGACAGCTACATGCCACTAAGACAGCCTCATCCTCAACCCAGCCAGTAGGCTGGGGCTCAGCATTTCAGTGCCTGGGGTCCCTGAAGCCTTTCAGTTAAGGCACCAAAAATTGCTTCCAAGAGCAAGGTTCTGTGGTTGGCACGTTTAGCACTATCTGCATCCCCCTTCCAGTGGTTTTATTTTTGCCTAGAACAAGCTCATAGCCATCACTTGATGCTACTCCTGTCCAGTGCCCACCAATACAGGAGCCTTCCCTTCCAGGGCTAACTGCACAGTGGTTTGCTGACACACCACACTGCCCTCCTTTAGACCAGTCCTGCAGCCAGGCAAGTTGCATTACTTCAAGCACCAGCTTCCTCCTTGGCTCAGCACCCAGCCATGGAGGGGCCTGGGACTATAATTAGTTAAGATGTGACCTATTAGAGCCTAAGCTATTTCTTGTGTGCAATAACAGAATTTATCCTTTGTCTCCAGAAGTGACATGTGCCATTCATGTAAGAAGGCAAGCATCTGTCTCCTAGATGAGCAAAATAGTACCATGAAGAAAATAACTCCCATCCCAGTCTCCATCAGTGTTGAAATTTCACTATTAGGGCTCCATTCCTTGGGTTATGGTGTTATCCACTTATTGAAATGAAGATGGCCCTGAGAAATATTGGGGGTAAAAGTGTTACTATCTGTAAACCATGGCAGCAAAATCGTCAAATGGCTGACTGCAGATTCTGGCTGAGCTGGGCCAGGACAGGTATTTGCAAGTTTTAATGTGGGAAAGGGAAGAGAGAGTCCCTATGCCAGGGCTACCCAAGAGGGCCCCCGCACTTGGACAGGGCTGGTGCTCTGGGGACCCTGGATGACCATGGCCTGAGAGAACCCTTAGAGCCTAGCTAGTGGCAGCATCAAGGCCAGTATAACTCCAATATTTGCCTTGAGAACCACCTGCAGGCCTTGGCAGAGCTGAGAAGCAAGGTGCAGTGTGAGCCATGGTGGGAAAAGGCATCCTGGGTAGTTCAGCACATGGCACCTCAGGGTCACCTGCTCTCAGTGTGCTGTCAACCTGGGCTGTGAGGTGGGAAGAGTCAGACAGTGACTCTAGTCCTTGGCTGCCCACAATACTATGAGGCATTTGCCCACCTGCATATCCCACAGCCATCCTAAAATCAACTTGTGAAAAAGACCACCACTCCCACTGACCCCACTAACACCACAGCCTCCCTCTGCACAGCCCCTCTTCTCTGCCACCACCGACCAGTCACTACACCACTACCCCTCGATCATCCCGGGAAAGCAGCCTTGACTCTTTCCTCCTCTTGGCCTGTGCATCTTACTGGTCTTTAATATCTCTGGTTTTATGTCCTAAAGATTTCTCTTCCCAGAGCACCATGCCTAAATCATGCCTCCATCTCTCCTCCCATGCAGCACTCTCTGGCCCTTGGTCCTTCCTCTCTTCTGCCCACCCCATCCCCCTGCCATCCAAGCATGCCAAAGAGTTATTCTAAACTTGCAAATCTGGCCCACACCTGCCACTGCCCTGCTAACACCCCTTGCCCTTTACTGGAGGCAGTTTTCCCACATCTCTTTTTTTTTTAATTCCATCTTTTCTAGCCAAAACTTAGTCAAAGTTAGAGTCTATTTCCAAAATGGCAGGTATTCCTTTCACCATTTCCAAATATAAAACTTTAATTCTGAATTTGCTTTTTTAAACCAAATGTGTGTTCAATGTTAAAAAAAAAAAATCAAACTCATCAATTGACCAGAGGGCTCTGCCTTTCTCTCTGTCCTCTCACCTCTCCTTGAGATGGCCACCTGTAGGGTGAGGTTCCAACTCTGAACTGACACCTACACCCCCATGGGCTTCCCAGCACCCACTCGACCCTCCTTGCCTATTAGGCTGCAGTGTATTTGCCGGACACAGATGCACAAGGGACCCTGTGTCTGCCAGGAATGCCCTTCCCTCTTTACCTCCTCTTTCAGCTCATTGGTCCACTCTCCTGGGAGCCTGCTCCCATGCCCTCTCTCTCCAGCTGTTACTTTTACTCATCTCTTTCGTTCCTCTTGCAGCCCCACAGCAGCAATCTATTCCCTGAGCTCCAAGCAGGGAGGTGCTCATCTTAGGCATTTCTCCATGTGCCAGGTTGCCATGGGGTTGGTATGAGGTGGGTGCTGAATAAAAGCTAGCTGAACTCAAATGCAACTAATGGTGCACTGGAAACGTGGGCCAGCTTAACAAAGCTGCACTGTCAGGGCCTGGTCGTGGAGGTGAGGAAAGCCTGAGGGAGGCTCACAGTACAGTTTGGGAAGACAGAACCAGAAGCAGCTTGTTTCAGGGTAAGGTGCTAGGCACAGTGGCTAGAGCCCTAGTGCCTAAATCACTTCCTCCTAGAAAAAAGTGTCCTTTTGATATAGAACCCATTGGATAGGCTCCTCCAGCCACTCTTCTATTCTACCTTGAAGCAGAACCCCAGCAACTGATTGTAAGTAACAGTCCAACTCCACAATGCAATGTTGATCATAGAGGACAAAGAGGAAGATAACACACACAGCACACATCAAGCCTTTGTGGCTCCCCAGAGTTTTGTCTCACTGTCTTCTTTCCTCTCACCTCTTCCCTCCAGGATCTCCTCCCCTTCCCTGCTGAGAACATGCACCCTCCCCCCACACACACTCTTCTCAGAGAGCTCCAGAGTTCCCCTCAGCATCCCCAGTTGCAGTTCTCACACCTCTGCCCCTCTTCAGCAGACCCCGCTTGGAATTCACCCCACTGAGAAGGCAGCTGGGGATGCAAGTCAGGAAAAACGCCCCTGTTGTGGTGCACCTTCTTCCCTGCCTCACTAAGGCCAAGTACACACACCCACTGCAATATGAAATCCCATTTCTATGTATCACTTCTTGTGGCTGTAAAAAGAATGGAGGGTCTATAAGGGGAGTAGCACACCCCCAAGTTGTCTGACTGTGCTAAAGTCTGCCTTAACTCCATACACCCTGAGGAGAGAAGTGACTAGTCATTTGCCACTTCAGTGGGGGCTTCCAGATGGCAACAGGCAGTTGCATGGCTTAGCATGCAGAGCCCAAAGAGAAAAGACTAAGGGAGCCATCATCTGCAGCTGTCCCATCACTGCCACAGGCACAGCCCCTCTGTGCCAACAGCCATGCAAAACCTAGGCCTCAGCCCCCCAACTCAGCTCTGGGCAGAGACAGCACAGCATTTTTGACAAGCCTAAGGCTCAGAGTCAGAACCCCAAACTCACCAATCCCCAAAAGAGGTTCCCTCAAGTGGGAGAGGAGGCGGTCATGGCTGTGCAGTTGCTGCTTTGCAGAATAAATGGAGGCAGTTGAATGGAAGAGAAGACCACACCCTGCCTGGTATGTTCAGATAAAGGAGGAGCTCATGCCTCTGCATTGGTGGATCACAGGGGACACTTATCAGCATCTCTTCACATGCTTCTGAATTTTCCAGAGTTCCACATTAGGTAGGAACTGCTATGATCATTTAAAACAGAAGTAGCTTAGAAGGAGAAAAGGAAGGGGAAAAGACCTAAGAAGGAGAGAAGTAGTAGTCTACTTCTAGAAACCCTATTGGCTGGGGGAAAATCCTTTGTTTGTTTGTTTGTTTTCAGACAAGATCTTGCTAAATCACTAAATTGCCCAAACTGCACTTGAATTTGCAATCTTCCTGCCTCCACCCTCACAAAAGTGCTAGGATTACAGGCATTTACCTGTACCTGGCTTGGAAGAATCCTTTAATTCCCAATTGCTACATGCCCAAGCTATACTAGTTTCCTGGCATCTCTCACATATAGTTTCCTAACAATATACAAGGGATTTTCAAAGCCTTCAGGCAAGGGGCCTCAGACCTCGTAGTTGTAGATAATTTTATTTCCATTCTCCACTACCAGAAATTGCATGTTGTGAAAAAGTGGACCCTGTACTCCTTACTGAGGTAATTAGTCCCATTCCCTCTCATTGAACAACAGAGTTATTTGTCAAATATCTATTGGTGCCCAGGAGTGAGCAAGAACTGGACATGAGAAGGAAGATATCTGGAAAGAATGAGACACAGCCTCTGCTTGCTAGAGACTCATAGTCATGTTTGTTTACATAAAAAACATGAATACAAATAAAACATACATAGATACT